TTAAACTTGACAAGTAACAGAAGCCGCGTATGCATCAAAGATGTTCTTTATAAGAATTGCATGACCCAAAACATAAAACACAAGCAATTTCAATTGATCAGATTCCTCCGCAGTAGTTACAAAGCCATTACAACTTTTGTGAAAGGCCATTTGATGGCTCTGTTAAAATTGAAGCCTTTCCCCACTTTAGATCTTCAATTTCAGGATCACTTGGCATTGTGCAGAAGAACTACTTAGAAACTAAGGTAAACAATTATAATTCAGATAAACGCATGGACGAGGCTCGTGGGGGCACGTAAAGCTGTTCTGCCAATGTCAAAAGCTACAGCAGACTGCAGAAAAGGAAGGGGGGGAAAAAAACAAAAAAGTGTACTGCGAAGAAAATTAAAACCTCGGAATTCACTGAAAAGAAAAGGCAAACCGCATAGGATAAGCATCCAAATTGAAGTTGAATTGTTGCCGCTTTAATGAGAAGAAAACCAAATCAGCACGTGCAAGGCGAGTGGATATGAAAACCCTAGAAGCCTTCGTTTGGAAAACGGCCAAGGGAGTGTTTGGATAAAAACCAAACCATGGTTTCAGAAGTGCTTTTGCGGATTACGAAGTAAATATAGAGGAGGTTATCTCGTTTTACGGAAAAGTGCTTCTGAAACCACGATTTTGAAGCATCCAAACAGAACCCAAATTAAAGATGAAGAGAAGGCCACCGGGAGGCACACCTAGTGGTCGGTTGAGATATAGGCACCTAGATGTACAAATCATTAATAGTTTAATTTCAGCTTTAGCTTTTAAAAGTAGTGAAAGGTGCACTTATTTGTTTCTCTTACTGTACGAGTCCGGAAAGAAAATTAAAACATGTTTTTTTCACTTAGGGCTTGGGGCGTGTTTGGATATCCTAAAATTTTTTACAAATCGAAATAAACTCCTCTATATATTTATTTTGTAGGCCGTAAAATTACTTCTGAAATTATAGTTTGGTTTTTATCCAAGCACTCCTTTATTTATGTTTATTTTAAGTGTTTATATAAGTATTTTTACGTAAGTTCACACTCGATTTTTCATACTCTTGTTATGGTTAAACGATTCTTTTGGGATAATTCATCTAATCCTGGGACAGCTATAATGTTTTAAAGTTCTTTATAATGTTATAAAGTTTGTTTAACTCTTTGCCCAATTTTATAAAGATAAAACTTTCCTTATATACTTATTTTATATCCTGTAAATACAAATAAAAAAACTACTCATGAGTTATTACAAAGAAGTCCTTAATTTAGTGTTATTCATGGCTTTTAATCGCTAGCCTGAGTAGGGACTTTGGTTCTCAAACTGATCTGCAACATTATGCTTGAGCTGTGATGATAAATCACTATTTCATCTGCTTCAATCTTCATTTGCTCCTTCGTGACGGAGGGTAATGATGTGTTTGGTTAAGAAGCTAAATCTTAACCACCAGTTGGCGCATCAAGCCCAAACCATTTCAATATAACGCTATATTTTTTAATTTCTCCTTGTCTTCGAAACAGTACATCACCCACATACAGTCAACTTCTGAATCACTTTTCTTTTTCCCTGCTTTTTTCTGGTTTGACTAACTTTTCTTTGTTGAAAAGCCAACGCATTCCGTTTTTTCCTACGAGTGAAAGAAGGTAACGCATTCTTTTGCGATAATCGGGGCATGTTTGTTTTTTTTTCTTTGCTTTATTATTCTCAAAATAATTTTATAAGATTATTTTTGAGAACAGGTTTTGGAAACAAAAAACCAAAAAATTTGTTTGGAAAATAATTTTTAAAAAATCACATTTAAAAAATATATAAAAAAATTACACTTTGACAAGTAGTAGCTATCACTGATAATGATAAGTAATGGGTAGTAGAGGGAAAGAGAAGAAGATTTTTCTAATTTTTTAAAATAAAAAAAATACAAAATACCAAAACAAAAACAAAAAAAAGTAAAAATTGTTTTGGTTTTTCAGTTTTTAAAAACATTTTTTGTTTTTTAAAACAATCAACTAAAAACAAAACTGCCAAACAAGTTTTTTTGCTTTTCTGCTTTTAAAAACAAAAAATTGTTTCCAAAATAAGAAACCAAACAAGTCCTTAATCTCTCTATGTTTCCTATTTCTCATGAATTTCTAATATGCTACCTCCTGTATCACTCTTTCAGTCCTTAATATATGATTTAATTATTAAGTTAATTTTAAACTTAAATATAAGACCTATTTATCATATTTATTAATTTTTTTCTAAATTACTCTTATAGATACTTCCTCAACCATAATCAAGTAAATGAGGGAGGAAAGACATTAAGAAAGATGATTGTGGTGTTTTAAAAAAAATATGTCATATTTCTTATAATTAACGAACTTATCTAACTTTTTAAATTTAATTAAATTAATTAAATTAGTCTTATATTAAATATGGAAAGAAATATAAGCTATATCTTTTTTTTTTAGCCAGCAGCTATGTCTTATATTAAACATCGCGGATATAATGTTATTTATCTTTATTGGTTGCTTGCTACAAACACGCACAAGGAGATCGCTGCGGAGTGGATACCATACTTAATATTACTTCCAGTTTTTAATATAAAACTTAATTGATCAATTTGAAAAAATTAAAAAAAATTAATTAATTATAATAAATATATATTTTGTTTTTTAAAATATTCTTATTAATTATATATATTTGAATTACTATTAATAGTAACTTCTTAATATATACAATTATCATAGAGATTATTTGGGGACAAAATAAATAAATAATAAAGACAAAATAAATTTAAATTTTATATTTAGAATCAAATTAAATATCAAACTAGCTTTTATATTAAAAAATAAAAACAGTATATGCCAAAAAAAAAAACGGAAGTAGTAAAAGATTTAGTTTGCACTTCAAATTAAACTAAACACTAGATTTTGCGTTAAGAATCGAAACTAGTAATGTTGATATATCTTCACATTCCTTTCTTATTAGTTATTTCACCGAAAATGATTCCAGAAAATCCAGATTATGGGTGTATTTGGATAGCAGTGACAGAAGTAACTTTTTTTTTTCAATCTGCAGATTGAGTAAAAGTCAGATAGAGTAATGTAATTTATATTTGAATTGGGTTTTCAGAAAAGTCAGTTTAAGAAGTTGAAACTTGCTTGGATAATAAATGTAAAAGTAAATTTGCATGTAAAATGACTTAAAAAGACATAAATTTTATTAAATAGTATATATCTAATATTAGATATATATAATTTGACTATTTTTTAAGAAATAAGGAAGATAAAATTATTAAAAATAAAGAAATTTAATTTATTATTAGAAAGAAATTATATATATAATGTGATTATTTTAAATGAAGTATTAAAAGTGAGCTGAGAGGAAAAAACATGCAGGTCAGGTTGGTAAAAATTTTAACATCCTAATAAATATATGTAATGGTTTCTCAATGCCCATTGCTGCTCCAAAAAAAGCCCCGCATTTGAGTTGAAGAAGCTAGATTGTGTAGACATGGATCCAAACAGGATGAAACATGCGGTCTGAAAAAAGCCCAGTGGAGCGTTTGGGCACGTTTGGAAGCCGGAAAAAATGGCCGGTGAGACCGTGAAGCAAGACTGGAAGGTGGGGTAAAAACTAAAAAGTCTTCGCAAGAATAACGTCAAATCACATAGGGTCATCAAAGCCGGAAAAAATGGCCATAAAAATCAAAATCGCGTCAATTTTGTAGTTTTTGAAAGCCAATCCCTCTTCAGTCCCAAACCAAAAAAACAAAAGAAAAAAGAAAAAAGAAAAAGAAAAAGAAAGGAAAGGCCAATCCCTCTGCTTCTCTCTCAAGTCTCACCCACTTGCCTGAATCATCAAATTTTTGTACTTTTCCTGCAGCTCTCATTATATTTTACAAACCACCCAATATTAAAAATTATATTACATTCTCACTAATCATATTTTAAACGAGCTGTGCCTCATATATGGGGGAAAAAAACATTGTTGTAGCAATTTGATAAAATATTATATTACTCCTCCGGTCCTAATTATAAGATCCAATTGACTTATTTGAGGAGATTAAGGAAGTAAGTTAAGTTGGTTATTTATAATAAATAAGTGTTGTCATTCCTAAAATATCCTTACTAATTAAGTATATTGGTTAAAACTATCATTATTAGAAGGATTATCTTAGAAAAAAAATGCATAAATATAAGAGACAAAATGGATTGGGTCTTATAATTAGGACCAAATAAAAAGTCAAATTGGGTCTTATAATAAGGACCGGAGGAGTACTATATTTGATTTCTCATGACGTGGAAACGTTATCTTCGGGAGGCTTCTCCCTCACTAAGTTAATTTACCACTCACTCATGCATGGAGTTAGTTAACTCAAAATGAATAGATCTTCACTTAGGGTGTGTTTGGATGAAACCAAACCATGGTTTGGAGAATAGCTTCTGGAGAATAGATTCTGAAAAAAATAGATTTTGGAAAGAATAGATTTTGTGAAAAAGTAATTTTGAGAAGTGTGAGTATTTGGATAGTTGTTATTAGAAGTACTTTTTATATATACAAATTGGCATAAATTAATATGATAATTATAGAAAAAATATATTTTATGATATATTTTAATTTGAAGGAATAAAATTGTTAATAATATATTTTTTATTAACATATATTAATAATATATAAGATAATATAATTAATAAATAATTAATATTTATATGTATTTATAAGATATAAGATTAAATATGTTTATAAAAAATATGTTTATAAAAAAAACAACAAGATACACATCCTATAGGCTCTCACACTCTCCCCCTTTTCCTCCAAAAGTAAAAAAATTTTACTTTTCTCAAAACCATGGTTTTGATTTTTTTAAGGGTGTTTGGCTAACATTTTTTCCAAACCATGGTTTGGGTCCCAAAACCATGGTTTGGGGTGCTTGCCAAACACACCCTTAATTACAGTTCTGCCCTGCGTTTCTGTGCACTCTCATCGCTGATTCTTCTCCATTTTCTGCGTGCCCACCAAACCAACGGTGATCACTACCTCGACTTCTTTCCAAGCTGTGTTCCGCGATTCACCCAAACCGTATAATTACCAAATTAAAATTATTGTTTGTTTCGTATTTTCTGTGTTCTGCTGTTCTGCGACGTCGATCTCTGCTCTCTGCTTGCTCTCCCATGGCCAGGCCAAAAGCTCAAAGAAGAACCCTTGATTCTTACACAGTCAAACCCATAAACAAAGCCATTACGGGTAATAACTAATTACTAAGTGGATACTTTACTTATTTTCATCTTCCGATTTTCCCGGGAAAACTTGAAGGCTTCTTTTTCCCTCTCTTTCTGCCTGTTTCTCGCCGTCTTTCTCTCCTGATATGCGCTGCTTCCACTGTTCTCAGCCGGCGACTGCGTGCTCATGCGGCCGTCCGACCCGTCAAATCCGTCCTATGTGGCTAGGATTGAGCGGATCGAAGCTGACTCGCGTGGCGCCAACGTGAAGGTCCACGTCCGGTGGTATTACCGGCCGGAGGAGTCAATCGGCGGCCGGCGGCAGTTTCACGGTTCTAAGGAGGTTTTCCTTTCTGATCATTTTGATGTTCAGAGTGCCGATACAATCGAAGGCAAGTGTACGGTTCACAGTTTCAAGAGCTACACGAAACTTGACGCTGTCGGAAACGAGGATTTCTTCTGTCGCTTCGAATACAATTCCGCCACCGGTGCTTTCAATCCTGACAGAGTAGCTGTGTATGCTGATTCATTCTTGTTTTGTGTGCTTATTATCGGGTTATGCTGCTGTTTCCGCCTTTCCGCTATGCTTGATTGTTTGTTTACACATGTGCTCTTGATGCTCATAACCTCATTTTGGCATCTGACAATAAATTCAAACTAAGCTCTGTTCGATGGTGCTTTAAGATTTTACATCGCTGGTAGCTATGTAATCTTGCTCGTCAGTCGTGACGCTAATTATCCATGCAGTCATGTGCTTGTTGGAATCGTTAAGGTTAATTTTGATGAAATAGTGTAGTCATGTGGTTTTTTTATTTGATTTTTTGCTTGGAGAATGGAAACGTGACAACTTTTATCTTCATGAAAGTAGCGGTGGGATCTTATTGGAATTTTGGTTTGTGTTAATTGTTTAATGTTTTTGTTGTAGATACTGCAAATGTGAGATGCCCTACAACCCTGATGACCTAATGGTCCAGTGTGAGAGTTGCAGTGATTGGTAAGATGGACATATAAGGTGATATTACTCCTGATTGATTATGCTTCTGCTATATTGATTTGTCTAAGATCTATTACCTGTTTTATTTTTGAATGTTTATGTTTAGTTCTAAAAATACATGCCATCTTCCTGATGCATTTTATTCTTAATTTTCAGATTGTAGTTCATGTTTTACCTCTTTTCTTCTGGTTTCATTTGAGGAAACAAGGTATTTTAAGTCAGTTTGAACCATACAGGCATCTGTATTCTTTGTGTAAGACCCTAGTTCCAAAAACTGTGTCTGTCTGTCTGTCCGTATGTACGTATGACTTCAGCACTGAGCAATCCATATATTTTTATGCTTCAATTACTTTGCATTCACAGTTGCAAGTCTAGTTCCAAAATCTTGACCCTGTGAATAATTATGAGATGTGATTTTTAAACAAGTATAAATTGAATACTATAATGAAAATGGGTGGTGTATCTTGGTTATTTTTTGAAGGGAGTCTGTTTTCTTGTTAACCCCAGTTGCAACTCAGTTTTCTTGTATAAGAGTATAGAGGAATAGCCTTAGATGGCGAAAGGTGATGAACTCTACTTTCTTGGCTAATCCAGATTATTAAAATCTTGATCACTTATTCAGACTATGTAAAAATAACTGAAATTTAAATCCTTAGTGCTCTAGAATTACCACAAAAAAAATCTTAATGCTTTTCTTGTCCCAATCATTGTTGTCAACCTTATTTGGAAAATACTCATGCTTGAAAGCTAGCTGAAGGCTTAATTTGTGGGAGTTGAAATATATGAATCATTTTATTGAGGCATTGACAATTTTCAAGGTTTGTAAGAAAGCTAATTGCGATGATTGGTCCTAAAATGTTTATCATGTCCGGATAAATAGCATAGTTGCAGTCACAACACATTTTCCGAAGAGATTTTGAAAGTTGAAATTAGAATTTTGTTACGTGGTCAAATGTGAAGAGGATATCTGAGTTCGAAAGAATGCAGTCCTTTTCAACCTAATATTCTTGATTCAGGTTTCATCCTGCCTGTATAGATATGACCGTGGAGGAAGCCAAAGGACTTGACCACTTCTTTTGTGAAAACTGTTCTGGCGAAGGCCAACAGAATGCACAAAATTCTCATACTTGAAGACACTCAGATACCAAGGTATTCTTGATTGTCTATATTTCTACTTATCTCTAAGTTCCTTTAGAATTGGTTTGCCATGCTTTAGAGACGGTTACTTCAATGCCTCATTTTTTAGCCATGTTCATAGTCAGTTTTGGACCTCCTAAAAAATGTAAACACAATATATAATATAAAAATTCCATTCAGCCATGGATAGCACAATCCAACAGTTTCATCTGTGTGTTATTAGCTGAATTTATAGAAAAAGGGAAGTTATTTGCAAATGTTCAAATGTTTAGTTCACACCAGAAAGCATTGTTATGTTATTAGCATAGTAGCATTCATGCGTTGCCTTATAATGCAGGTGAATATAAAACGCCATCGAAGGTGATAATGATACTATACAAGCTTAAAATGAAGTAGATGTACGAGGTTGTTGCTGGATACCACGCTTTTCTAATCCTGGGTAACGGTACAAAACAAACACGGAGGCAATCCACAGGTGTCTTTCTGTTCGTGTCGTAAAAGACTGATATGGAAATGTCTGTTAAGTCCGTTTGGTTTGAGTGATCATCCTGTTTCCTTTGGAAGTCGAGGATGTTTGCTTGTGTGTAATTATGTTAGTAGACTCTCTATGTCTCTGTCCTTGCTTCTGGACTTTGTAAAGTATCTTGATTTAGTTATATATGAGACTAAGTAGACAGCTTTTTTATATAGAAAATACTGAAGAACAAAATCATATTTTCCTTGAGTCCCCAGGATGATCATTAAACGCTATGGACCTTCAGAGTCCTTAATAATCTTATGTAAGACTGCCCCAAGTTTGTAATCCTGGAATATCAGAGCTTTATTCAGTCAACCAAGTAGTCGGAATAGGCTAAAGACTGAATGCTGAAGATGTATTTTCAAAAGGTTTGTATTCCAATCTATATCACAGCTAAGAAGGGAACTTCGTACATTGAAATGGAATTCAATAAAAGCCACTGCGTAAGATCTAACGTTCAGGTAACGTGATTATGGGGGTGTTTGGTTTTTCCTTAAAAATGTTTTGTAAAAATATTTTCAACTCCTCTCACAACTATAAAATCATTTTTAAAATGATAGTTTGGTTAAAAAACCGAACATCTCCTATATCTGAACAATTTGATTTTTTTTAATTATAAATTCTCTTACGTTATACAGCCCTGTAATTTTTCAAAACAGTCAGGCCTAAAAAAAAAAAAAAAAGTCAAGAACGAAGCGTGGGTGATGCCATAAAAGAGGCATTATGAAGTTATATAGTATTGAACATGTGAAAGGAAAACAAACTTTATCATTTTTCAATTAAAAACAAATACATATAAGAATTGCATTTATATTTTCAATGAAAGTATTTATTGTTTTATTTTTTTTTATTCAAACCAAATATTCATTCTCACCTCATTTGTAAATAATTACCAGTAAGTTTAAATTCGCGAAGCAAATTCATGTATTTTAACAATCTGATAGTAAACATGCGGATTAACAAATCATAAAAACGTGATAATCTTAAAAAATCACAGTATCTATGTACTAAAAATCCTAAACCATAGAAGAACTGAGATAAGTGATAAAATTATTCCAATTGAAGAATGTGGAGATGAGATGGTGAAAGCAAGCCATTTACATTTGAGGTAAAGATCCATGGTAGAATGATATAATAATTTCAAGATAACAGGAAATCCATGTATTTTATTTTTGGCCAAAGGAAATCTATGTATTAAGCTGAGAAGTGAGTTGTGGAGTCATCAAGAGGGTGCCATAATCTGTTCAAAAACCACATTGAATCAGCCTCTACTGCAAATCCATCTTCATTTCTGTGCCAACTGAAGTAAGCATGTGTTCTGTTCTCTATCTCAAAAATGCCATGTCCATAACTCGCTTCCCGGTGTGCCGAGTATTCTGGTTGTGGTTCTGTCATGCTGCATTTTGCAAATCACACTCATTTCACCCTAAAACAAACCATTTCTACAACAACCACATGTTCAGTTCCTTTCATTCTGATGTTTAAGATATCATCACTCAACATTCAACAATTTGTGTGTGTTTCTTATAAAATACTCTCTTTAATTCTTAATATAAAAGTTACTTAACTAATTTGATCAGATTAAAGAAATTAAGTAAATTAGTTAATAGACCTAATCTCCCTAAAATACTTGTGTAACATTATGTTATATATTAGTTTACGAGTTAAGTAAATTAATTTGGAAAAAAAATACTAAATATAAGAAACAAAATAGATTGTAGTATTATATTTAGGACCAAATTTAAGTTTAATCCCTTGACTAGTTCTTATAATAAGGATAAAAGAGAATAGTGTCCTTTCTATAAATAATCATGATATCAAACATATTGTGAAATGAAATTTGTGATAATAGTGCATCAAATGGCCGTCTAAACTCTTTCTAATTTATGTATAAGAGCTTACTTGTTTGCTAGGCCTTCAATATTCCCCCCATCACCAATGGTTATATACACAGGAGCTGATAGATCTTTCACAGGAGTACATCGACCATTCACAATATTGTATGCAATATTAGATACACGTTCCTGGGACATGAAACAATTAAGTTAATTCTGCAAGTAAATACAAAAAAAAAAATGCTGGTGGAAATTCAACATGATTGAGAGAACCATAACATCATAAATTACAAAGATGAATCTTGCGAATGCCAAACCGATATATATTGGAAAAGCCAATTGATGATGCTATATGGATCATGCACCTCAGTTGAAACTTGGTAAAGAAAAGAGGAACATGTAAAAGAGTGCTGGAACTTACAGATCGTTCATAGGCATGAACATGACCAGAAAACACAACATCAACCTTGTACTTCACAAACCATGGCTCAAACGTTACTCTCATGGTTTCCCCTTCCATGAAGTGATAACTATAGCTATTATACCACGGCGCGTGCACAAGAACAATCAACCAGGGTGTCTCTGTCCTGTTAACTTTTGCTAGCTCCTCCTCAAGCCATTGATACTGGGGAGTATATGTTCCTGAAAAGAAAATGAAAATATTTACTGTACTGCACTAAAAATTAGTTAAGATGCTCTCCACATGCTTTTATTTGTGTCTCACAGAAGAAGAATCTGGCACTACCATATGCTGAGTATGAAGCCAAGACAATGATATGTGCCGAAGCTCTCTTAATAGAATACCAGAAGGGTTGAGTACTCTGTGATGCTCTGTAAGGAACGCGATATCGATGAGTATAAGGCTTGAAAGGCTCGGTTTCTCCCTGTGATCAATCATCATTCTCTGGTTAGGCCATGGAAAAATGGAAAATGTTATGGTTTGTTTGTATTAAAGAGTGGGAAGTAAAGTGAAACTCAGATTAGATCATTTTCTATGAGAAAGTTACAATTCCTGGAGCAAAATCAAGTTCATGGTTCCCAGCAGTCCATATCCAAGGTTGATAAGCAACACTTCTTTCTACAAACCTTCCCCAGGTATCCCACCTCACATTATCATGATTTGGATAATTATCTGCATAAGAGAGGTCTCCCACATAGAGCAAAGCTTGCCCTTTTCTAGGGTTCATTTCATAGTGAGTTAGCGTCCTGTTTGAATCAAACGTCTGACCAAGGTCCCCTGCAAACACAATTCCCAATTATCAAATAACAAACACAACGGAACATGGACAAAAATCTCATGCAATACTCCTCTAGTCCTAAATGTATCAGCTAGAGAACTAATTTACCTAAATTAAGAAAATTAGTTAAGTTAGTTATGTGTAAAAAATTGTATGCTGATTTAATTGGAAACTAACCATCATGAAAAGCAACCAATCCATGAATATTAGTTTAAAGAATAGATTTTACCTATGAGACCAAATGTGTATGGCACATCAGGACCGACTTCAGGAGGCGTCCTAAACCAGAATTGTCGTGTGGTATTCCCAATTCCAACCTCATAGTAATATTTGGCACTGTACTGCACAACATGAAGCTCAGAAATCAATAACTCATTCACTGAAACAAACCCCTTTTGATTAGCATCAGGAAAATAATAGCAATCATAACATGGGGCAATGGATCAATTAATTCCTACCTCCAAATCTTTCATAGTGCAGTGATGAATAAATCCAGAGGAGTAATTGTAAAATCTGTAAGTAACAAATTCTCCTTCAGCCAGCCTCTTATTCTCCCTGCTGTTCTCTTTCCAGTAACGCACGACACTTAATCCTGGTTCATCCTCAGTCACCCAAGAAACAATCACTGCCTTCCCCACATAATCACCTTGTGTTATATGAACCTTAACCCAGAAAATCCATACATCAAAATGGCGAGGAATGAGACCAAAAGATTAAGAACTGAATCTAAAACTACTTTACACAGATTTCACAAGAACCTGTTGAGGAGCATTATAGCCAGGAGGAACTGCGAACACATCGCTATCAAGTGGCATATCCACAGCATTCACAATCTTTCTGACGAATGAACTGGTTCTGCTACCATAACAAAACACAGCTACACTCGAAAGAAAAACCAGAACCACAAAACAAGAGAATCTTTGAAGACCCATTTTCTCAAACTGCAAATTAATCTCCCAAGATGAATCAACGTCTCACTAGTGATTGACCTAGAACCCCATCATATTAATCTCTGCGTTGCATGTTGAACACAATATGATGCGAATTTGTTGTTGAATGAATCGGGGGATATTCAGAATCCTCTGCGCATTTACAATGCAGAGTTAAAGACAGATTATATGAACAGAGACGTGTTAAGATTATCTCTCAGGCTGGCATTTTTCTTGCATTAGAGAACAAATGATGGAATCGCTGCATGTCTTTTCGGAGTGAGAAAGTGAAATGAATGAATAAAAAAACAATGAAAGCGTGAAAGTTGACGTTGGATTCATTGAGGAGATCGATACGATAATTAAGAGAATAGTGTCCCTTCATCTACTTCCTATAATAAACAGCAGTGTGACCTTGTTCTGCGTGAAAGAACGATTTTCATTTCATTCAATAAATAGTAGTAATAGTTCCTAGTTTCAACGTACTCGAGTAGCCTTTGTGAACGGATATAGAAATAGATATGGTTACGTGGGGATGACAGTCCCCATGATTTCTTTGTTAGAATTAGAATTAAAAAATTTTTAAGTTAATTTTTTTTTCAATACTTATCTTTCACGTTTTAAGTAAATGCTATTTTTAAAATTTTCAGTATTTATCTTTAGCATTTTTAATAACTAGTTTTTTTTTATTATTTTTAATAATCATCTTAAATATTTTCTTTCAATACTTATTTTCCATATTTTTATAATTATTTTTAATTAATGTTGGTATTGAAAACATAATTTTGAGAGTACTGAAAAAAGTTGAAAATTTGAGTACTGCAAATGTGAAGGATGAGTTTTAATAATTCAAAAGATGAATGTTGAACAATAATTAATTCAACAAAAACTTTAATACTATCCCAGTTTATAATATAAGAGGTAGATGACTAATTTGTAAATATTAAGAAAAATATATTGTTCTATAGTCATGGAGGAATACAATTTGACGTCTAAAAATTTATAAAACAAAAAGATTAAAAACCATCTACTGCTCTGATCCTGAATATAAGATCTATTTTACAGTGTAATTTACACTACTTGATCCCTATGATCGAAGTTATATACTTTATAACATAGGCCTTATCCACACAAGTAACGGAGAACATACGAAAGCTTTGGAATATTATTTTCGGGCACTAGAACGAAACCCGTTCTTACCACAAGCTTTTAATAATATGGCCGTGATCTGTCATTACGTGCGACTATCTCCACTATAGAAAGAAAAAAGAAAAGAAAGAGCAAATCCACTAATAAATACAAGTTAAGTCTTATATATTTAAGACTGAAAGAGTATCGTTTTTGCCAAAAATTTGCGATCCATGCAAAATAAATACACTCTAGTAGCTCTTTTTTTAAGACTAAATAAATAGCTCTAAGTTGCTCTTTATAGGAAAAAATTGTTTCCTCATGAAATAAATAAATAAATTTCTTCATAGGAGCAACAACTAAACTAACTACCATTCAACTCCAACCGCATACATGGGCTCTTGTAGTTGGTTATATAGTATGCCCTTCTTCCAAGCAAACGCCATTGAACTTGGGCAACTATCACGTCCGATAGGGTGCACAATAAAACCCATAGGCTCCGTCCGTTAGGTGGGCCCCACCTCGGTGACAGTCCAGATAGGAACCAATGCAATATCGTCATGATTCCGTGGAGGCGTGTTGCCGATTCTGTCGTTAACCGTCACCGTTAGCTTTTTCCGCCTTTTAAGTCTCGGCGAACTCTCACGCACGAAGCCACCATTCGTCCATTCCCCATTCTTTTCCTCCTCTGTTTGGCATTATGGATCGTACTCTCAAGTCCGTTATTGTCTTCTCATTCCTCTTCGTCTCCGCCGTCTCGTCGGAGACGGAGAGCTTCTCCGCCGTCGAGAGTGACGCCGACCCGCTGATCCGGCAGGTGGTCGACGGCGATCACCGATTCGGCGCAGAGCATCATTTTTCTCTGTTCAAGCGTAAGTTCGGGAAGTCGTACGGGTCTAAGGAAGAGCACGATTACAGGTTCACTGTATTCAAGGCTAACCTGCGCCGAGCTCGGCGACACCAGAATCTGGACCCAACGGCTGTTCACGGCGTGACTCAGTTCTCGGATATGACACCGTCCGAGTTTCGGAAGGTTTTGGGTCTCAGAGGCCTCAGGTTGCCTGCTGATGCCAGCAAGGCTCCCATCTTGCCAACCGACGATCTTCCCAACGACTTTGATTGGAGAGATCATGGAGCTGTTACGCCTGTTAAAAACCAGGTTTGTCAATCCGTTTCATCTGCGGCATGTCGGAGATTATAAATAGCTCAATATAATATTGAAGCAACATTCTGGTATTTACTGTTATCGATTTTTTTTTAATGATGATATTCGAATTTTTTGGCAAATTAGGGTTCATGTGGATCGTGTTGGAGTTTTAGCACAACTGGAGCCCTGGAAGGTGCTCACTTCCTCTCTACCGGGGAACTGGTCAGCCTTAGCGAGCAGCAGCTCGTGGACTGTGATCATGAGGTTGGGCATTTCTGGTTTTAGTAATTCCTCTTTCTAATTAGCTTCACGTGATTGTTCGTGGATCATTTAATCTTTAAGTAATATCGATTGGTTCGTGAGTTTTATCTGCAATTTTGCAGTATCATTCGGTCTCAATAATTCGTAGTAAACTAGTTTGTGATACATATGCCTCTGTATTTAATTCAGTATAGTCTATATTTATGCAGCTGATTGTCACTATTATTGCTTCTGAAATATTAGGTAACAAATTCTGAATCCGGATGCATTCATGTTTTTGCTGGTTGTTTTCACCCAACCCGTAAAATTAGGATATGGCTATGTTTTCAGAACTCTCTCTTTATATTAACTATAGAGCATTGCGTTCCAGATATTCATAATGAATTATAATGGCGACAAAATGAATGCCCGTTTTAACGTTATGTGGTCTTTGAAGTCATGCTGTTATGTGATTTTCCTCGATAAATACTTCTCTATCTAAATTATTACTTGAAAGTTGGAACATTCTCGGCTATTGCAACTGGTCTGAATTCTATTAGTTCATCTATTCCCTGCTAATTGTTGGCTGACCTATGAGGATGTTGAAGATCAGTATTACATAGATGCTTTGGCATATTGCAGCTTATTGCTCCATGCAGTTTATTTGACTTTTTCGTGCTTTTATCATCAACATGATGGTACCAACATCTGAACCATAGACACAATGGCACAGCTACCAATGTCTCATCACAGAGACCAAGGTTGCTAGTTAAATTTTTATGCTTTCTTTTGAAGTTATTGAAACTTGGCAAACGTAAAGTTGAGCGCTAGGGCTGCTGTCAAAAAATCATGGGTCCATTACATGTTACAGAATTTTGTAGCATGTGTAATTTCTTAGAGAGAAATTAAACCCATACCTATGTGCAGTGTGATCCAGAAGAACCACGTTCTTGTGACTCTGGTTGCAATGGCGGACTGATGAATAGTGCCTTTGAGTACATCCTTAAAGCTGGCGGAGCCATGCGGGAGGAAGACTATCCTTATACTGGCACTGATCGTGGGACCTGCAAATTCGACAAATCAAAGATTGCAGCTTCGGTTGCCAACTTTAGTGTCGTTTCACTTGATGAAGAGCAGATTGCTGCTAATCTTGTGAAAAATGGGCCCCTTGCTGGTAAGACCAAATAACTACATTTTTCTTTGGGCGAAGACTTATTAACTACTACTATGGCCTCGTTTTTGCGGGCTACACATAGAATCCAATAGTTGCAGACAATGAATGAGAACTGACTCGTTGATTTCCATGGGTAAATATGCAGTGGCCATCAATGCGGTATTTATGCAAACATATATTGGTGGGGTATCATGCCCATACATATGTTCGAGGAGGTTGGACCACGGAGTGTTGCTTGTGGGATATGGTTCTGCGGGGTATGCTCCCATTCGGATGAAGGAGAAGCCATATTGGATCATTAAAAATTCATGGGGAGAGAATTGGGGAGAAAATGGTTACTACAAGATTTGCCGGGGGCGCAATATTTGTGGGGTGGACTCCATGGTTTCCACTGTGGCTGCTGTTCATACCACTTCTCAGTAGGATGTGACGCTTTAAATGCCTGTACTGTACGTATAACAAAGCATCCGCTATCCAGTCTAGCGTATTTCTGGAAACAATTTCAGTGTCATAATTAACGGAGAACTCAAGTGTGGATCCCTTTTATTTTTGGGCCACCCATGCTGTTAAGTGTTAACCTTTGTCCAAGAATCTTGAATTGATTTGTTTTCTTCGGTTTGTTTGATTACGTTCGTACATATTTTCCACTTAATCATCGTCCGAGCTTAGTTCGATGAAGGGAATAATGTGACTTTTTGTTCGCCCAAGGTACTCTAGTTCATTAGATAAGATGAGTTGCGCGCCCCTTTTGCTAATTAGTTACAGCTAACATAAAACAGCCACACTCTTCGACGTTGGGAGTTAAGAGACATTGATCTGATATCTTCCTTTTGCTTTCTGTTTACCTTCCATTCATCATCTTTTATCGTATGCTCGACAGCCCCGACTGCGGCACATTCCGCACCACTTCAGGGTAATTCACGAGAACCTGTCATTTACGAGCTGGATGCTATAAAAATTTAAGTCCACTGAAAACAATAATAAAAATTACATATTTGATTTATTTTAATCTTGATATTAAATTTTCCGTTTTAGTTCAAAAAAATTCAATTGCACCCAAATAAGAGATAATTAATATGCAAGTCTTTATAACTTCAACTAGTTTTTGATCAAGTCCCTATAATTTTTTTTATGAGGTTCTTATAATTTTACATGTTTTTAATCAAGTCTTTATAATTTTTTTTTATCAGGTCCTTATTGTTTTACCTCATTTTTAATAAAGTCCTTGTAGTTTTTATTCTTTAGTCTGTAAATAATAAATTATTAAAATAATCTTATGTTAATATTCTTTTAAATTTTTAGTTAAACATATATATTATTTATTTTTCAATGCTAATTTTTATAATTATAAAATTCAAATTATAAAAATAAAATTTTCTAAAATTAGAATATAATTATAAATAATTTATAGCTAAGTATAATTGTTTATTATGATTAATTATTAATTACTAAATGATTATATTTATGATTTTGTCCAATTATATAATTATTAATTTAAAAATAAAATTAATTTTAGAAAATAAAGTTAATAAATAATTATTTTAAAACTACAAAAGACCTGATTAAAAAATAAGTGAAACTACAGACATGATAAAAAGGAAAAAAAAATGAAAAGACCTCATTAAAAATACGTGGGAATAAAAAAGATCTGATTAAAAATTTTTTTTACAAAGATCTAATTAAAAGTAAGATGAAACTATAATAACCCAAAGATTCATTATCCAATAAGTTAAAGACTCCTTGATATCATTGTTCTTCAAAATTAGAGCCAACTGTGGATTTTAACCTGTGCCAACTTTTTTTTTTTTTGGGGGGGCGCCCCCAACTCAATCACTTTTTGTGCCCGACAATAACGCGTCACGTTATCTCTGAACAGCCACTCAAGACATGTCTAAATAGACAATGGCACCACAATAGCTATTGGGTGTTCGAGCTTAACGATAAAAACGCTGAAGTGAATTCGTCAAAGCCCTTACATAACATGACTTACACTCATCTACTTGCAAATGCAAGAGTTGAATAACACAAATCTACTAATGATAGCCTGGGAAACATACCCTAACTCTTAAAATACAAATAATTTATTTTGATATTGCGCAAATTAAGTTATCAATATAATGAACTAATAGGAAGTAATTATTACACTTAGCCATTCCTGCCCAGCCCGTGCACAGTCATTCCCTCTGAGAGGGAATCCATTTATTCCTTCAATGGCATAAATTAAACAAAGATGATACGGAATGACGCTGGATGAAAAAGTCCCCACGATGCCATCACCACAAACAATGCTGCAGAAACCAATCACTGAATCGGTCGAAACAAAAAATGAATCACTACAGGTCCAAGGCTGAGCTATCCAACGATCTAAGATTCTTGAATGATTTTAAATGATCATTCATCTTCATCATCTAGCAACGCAAACGAGTAAGGATGGAATGAGTATCCATCTCCCTCGTAGAACTTATTTTGGAACTCCACCCAGTGAAGACGCAGAGCATGGAGGAAGGCGCTGAGGGTTTCCATCACAAGTAACACCCCCACAGTTGCAAAAACAAAGACAATGAAACCCACTATAAGAATGATCACATTGTTGTACCTGTGACACCAGACGCAGCAATTAGCAGGCGTCTTTCGCATAAGTTAGAGTCAAACTATTCACTTGATCCCCCCTCCCCTCTTTTTTTCGTTGAGGTTAACATGAACAACGAGCGACAAAAAACCAGTGAAACTTGATACATTGTGTGTGCAATGCTCACCAATTGCATCCTCCAACTCATGAGATGCAATAAAAAAAATGTAACAAAGAAATTGAGCAAGTAGACATACCCCCATGCAAGAAGAAGAACCTTTTCATAGAAAACAGTTGACAACTCCGAATGCGCAAGGCTGGATGAAAATAAAGAAACATGAGAAAACGCATCACTCTATTTATTCATTTACAAAAATTGACAAAAGTTCCAGATATTAATGAATTAATCATTTACAGTACATATGAGGTTCAGTTCTGTATATCGAAGTGTGGGATTCAAGGACTACTACGATAATCATAATAAAATTTCACTTGCCAATCATAGGCAATAAAGAAGCAGTTGGCTTATTATTGTGTGCAGTGTGTGGCTTATAGGCTAGTATTTTGCAATTCAAGGGCAGAATGTTTCATAGAAATATAGTTTGCAGGAACATACCTAAGGGCCCAAAGACGAAGGTAAGAAGCTGTATTAGACACTGCTCCAAGTACAAATTCAATGGTGTGTATGAGTTGATGGACAAAGACTTCACTGAACTCAAATTCTTCATGACCATGGGAATCATGATTTGGCTCCACTAGCAAGCTCTCCTCTGTGCTTTGAAGTGGTGCATAGGATTCGCCCTGGTGCCTCTGCAGTAAAAACTATTTAGAACCAAAATACAAGAGAGTTGTTCCCTAACATAGGCAAAGCACCAAGAGAACCATACATCGTGTTGCTTCTTCAAAAGAAAAGGTTTTGGTATCAACATCCAGGGCACAGAGACAAGGGCCAGAAGTAACAGTACAAGCTGGTAAGACCACAACAAAACGTCTTAGTCCTATCCAAAAGAAGAAGAAAAAAAAAAAGGTAGGAGGGGGTAGGAAATAAAAATAACCTGCAAAGTCTTCTGACCAGGAAAGAGCTGGTTTTCTCCCAAATCATCTGTAGGACTCAGAAACATGTAGATCATTACATGGTACAAATCAGCTTTTGAACCAGTGCACCACTTCACAACGATAAGGAGGGATAGGTAACCAAACAAACTGTTGAGAAATATAATCTCGGGAATAAATTGGAACCTGAAGAGTAAAACAGTTTAGAAAAGCAGTTATATTCAATTTCGGAAGATGAAGTAATGGGGTAGTTTATAGAGATGGAAAAAGATTCAGTGATTTGATTGTATATGTGTATGATTACTCAGCCAACCCCAACTCTTTCCCATTCCATCAGGAAAAGCTTCCCAAAGTATATGAGATTCTTCACACACAAATAAGAATGAGCAACCAGAGACCTGAGTAAAGCTTTACAGCGATCAAGTAAGGAAAAATACAGATCACAAACTTACCATACATTCAGGGCATTGCCAAAGAATTTGGCATTGAAAAAGCTTATTATAATTCCAAGGTTCATCTGAGCCACCCCAAGAAGAATTGACATTTTCATTTTCAATGAATTGAGGAATGGCAATTCACTTCTTGAACCATGCCATGCTGGGTCCACTCCAAATGGGTATGTGGGACGTGCTTTTATCAAACCTGCAGAAGTGGCATCTCTACACCCCAAAAGGATAGAAGGAAGAATGTTAAGAATCAAAAAATCATAGAGCACAATTGTAGATTATATGAATAGAGGATTTGTTGTACCTGCAAGAAAAGTCACGGCATGCATATGCTGAGGGACCAAAGAGTTCAAATGGGACGGAGAAGAACTCATTATAGATCAAACCAGTGAAGATTGAGAAGAGAGCCATCATCAGAATAACATAACGACCTCCAAAAGTCATTTCCATAATATCTCCAAGCTTCTGTGTTTTTTTTTTTTTTTTTTGGTTAACCGCCCAATCAGCAAAGTGTTGTATTAGATGCATGCCGGGAGAAAGTTAAGATAATAAAATAAAAATTCCTCTTTAAAGAAAATCATGCAATATGGGGAAAGTGTTACCTGGCTAGAATACTTTTTCTCCCTTATTAGTAGATACAAAGTTGCCAGTAGTAAACATATTCCATGCCCCCAATCACCAAACATTACCGCAAAAAGAAATGGAAAGGTAATTATAGTATATACAGCAGGATTTGCCTCCTGATACTTAGCCACCCTGAAATATTAGTTCTGCACAATATTACACTTTTTCACGAGTAAAAATTATGTATCAAAAAGTAAACAAGCACATAATTTATTAATGCCACTGTGCAATTGGTCATAGGCACAATAATAATACAAGGGAAGACTTTGGGGTTCTAAAAGTTCTCTCTTATGTCCCATTATATGGTTTTATTAAGAATTGAAAATATGGCAATTAATTAGATCCGCATATAACTGAGTAATTGAGAAGGGGGAGCAACAACAAATGTATTGATTAAGGTGGAGACTAATCTACTTATATTTTGAAAATGACCAGTAACAATAATTTGTATGCACAATATCTTCCATAGTCCAAGCATGTATCAGCTCATGTAAACAATACCGGCATAACTCCCTCTGAACAAAAGGAACAACAAAAGAACGGAGAAAGAAGGGACAAGAAACTATTGTGATACTCACCCGTATGCATCAACAATGGATTGAAATGAAGAAGTGAATTTATTTGTTCGGAAATATGTAGGTGGTAACTCCCTAGAATGCAAAACTTGGAAAATGGTACCAACTTGGGAGTTAGAGTCATATGCTGCCCGCTCCAAGGCGTCCTGTATCTGAAAAATCAAGGTTCCAAGTTCCAAAAATCAATATTATAATAATTCAAAATCCTGAACCCAAAAGAAATGCCCTGGTTAAGAATAGGATCACAGAAACAATAAATACCTGCTTTGTTGCAAAAACAGGACTCCAACCCTCAGCCACTAGGCATTTTTTGGTCACATCAAGGCTAAGCATGTTCAGGGTATGATATATGGATTTCTCCTTTCTCACCTTCATGAGTGGAAGGAAATATTCTTAATAATAAGTAACAATTAATGCCAAGAAAAGAAATTTTAATCCACAGATTCAGATTTTCTTTGTAGACAGGAAAACTATATCCATCCCTAGACACAAACTATAATAGATGGACATAAGATAAATCTTATTTCGATTATGAACTTGAAAAACAGGACTCCAACCCTCAGCAACCAGGCACCTTTTGGTCATATCAAGCCTAAGCATGTTCAGGGTATGATATACGGATTTTCCCATTCTCACCTTCAAGAGCGGACAGGATTATTCTTAATAAAAAATTAACAATCAATCCCAAGCAAAGAAAAACGTCAATTCATATACAGATTTTCTTTGAAGACAGGAAAACTGGGTCCATCCCAAGATATACACATTATAATCGGGCACAAGGAAAATTGTACTTTAGTTATACACTCATGGAAAACATGGATGAGCATATTAGTTAAACATACCAGAAGATTCCACTGATTAAATTGATCCCCAATAATCTGGAGCAAGTTACCCTGGTGCAGCAGTCCAGTATCTATAGTTGTCTTCAACTCTGAGAGTCTTGCTGAGACCTGAATGCGAAATTGTTTAGACTTGGCAAAAGATGAATCACCAAACACAAAGATGCTTCTTTGAAATAAAATGTAGAAAATGGATAGCAAAAGGCAAGAGAAATATCATCATGAAGCATAAACTAAAACTTCAATCTGCCAGCAAGTAAACAATCCTTTCATTCCTGTATATAGATAGAAAAGCAAGATAAGCTCAAGCCCTGTGAAACAATTCAGCTAAAAAAAGAAAAGCAAGATCAGCTCAAGCAAATATCTGCTTTCCTTTTGCCACTAATACACATTCCCAATGAAAACATGGCTATGGTCATAATCTTGAAGGAATTGACTTCAGCAGCCTAATGGTATATGTAGTTATGTACCATCCACTTGACAATACTTAGAAGAACTAAAAAGAGCAAATATTTTCATGTTCATGAGGCCATGGTAAAGATTACATTGTTTACTACTAGAGTGCATAATTAAACCCATATCAAGACTTGGATCAAGAGTCCCCATGAATTATCCACAACACAGCAAGTCTTATCCCACTTAATGAAGTCAACATAGATAATAAAAACAACCAACTTTTCAAATTTATCATTTACCAAGAAATTCCATCTCATAACTTCTTGCTCGATCCATAATATTTTAGGGAAATTAAATTTGACCAAGGGAAACATCTCTCTGACATGCTTGTCCATAGTTTAACTAGGATTATAAAATCTCATTTTCTCTTGCCCAGCAGCTTAAAATCCACACGTGCTGCATTAAAGCCGCACAAAAGAAGCTAGAGGAATATTTTTCTTAAAAAAATGTGAAGATTCTAGACAAGCTTTTCCAGTTTTCCTCAAGATAGATGAGAATTTAAAAATAATAATAAACAAACCTCTGCAATCATTTGAACTTGTTTTCCTGATTCCTCGGCAAAAGGATAACGATTTGCTCCAAAGGCATCACATATTTTCAGAATCTTGGATTTTGCTCTTTCACCAGCATAGAAGACTAAAAACACATTTTTCTCAATCTGCATGTTAACATCCATAGCTCAATATCAAAAATAACAGAATAGGAAAACTATTAGTTCAACTTATACTGCATAAACTAGTTTTAATATCATATTCATATGTAGCAATCATAAACACCAGGTGCAGGAATATTGGTCAAGTAGGCATTACAGAGGCTACTTTAATTAAATGTTTCTTTTAGAAGGGCGATGCTGACTGTGATAATCATTGAAAAAATTCAACTTCAGATAGGTTATCGTTGACAAATACAAAGAAAACAATCTCCCCCTATCTAGTAGACAACGTAGCATGACAGAGCGTTGTGAGGAAAATGAAAGATATTCATTGCATGAATCAAGAATTCCTCAGAATAAAATTTCAGCAAGAAATTATGTATTGGCAATGAGTAACGTAAGAAAGTATAAAAAATGACAGACGGAACAGTGCAAGCGATTTTCATGTTTTTAATGTTGATGGGGAACAAGAATAAGCACCTTTTCTCCAGAAACAGGGTCTGTGACAGGATCCTCAACAATGACTTGCCTCAGAAACACATTGCCCCTAGTAGCACGAAATAAAATTCTCTCAAATGCCATGGATCTTTCCCTGGGAACAAGACCAGCTAGGAAACCCAACTTCACTTGCTTTGATGGATCTGTTGACATTTCCTTTACAGCACACCAAACCACAAGATTATTTCAATAAAAAAGATTATTATCAACTATATATACATGAAAACATGGCATAGGGACAACCAGAAACATACTTGATCTTGTAATAATGGTGTTTCCATAGACTCTCCACTCTGATGTGATTCAATTTCTCTCTGCTGCTCCAAGGCACGATTCTGAGCTGAATGGAAAAACTCGCTAGCCTGAAAGGAAAGAATAATTATTTCAGTAGTTGGATTATTGAGTGTTAATATTTGGATACTTAACTGAAATCTTATAAACTGAAAAAATTTGATTGGATTAGCTATGACGTCCTTCAAAACTGAATAGGACACTATTATAATTGAAAGGAAAAAAATATATAGAGTTAGCGCTTAAAAATATTGAGAATTTTTACAACAACTTTTTTCCCTAAAATAAGGAGAAAGCTACTAAATTTTGACTGCTTTAACAAATCCTTGATCTAGAGATTGGAGTAGGCAGTGGAACCACATGAGATTATAAGCATTTTACAAAATTTTAATCAGTATCCCTTCAACTCGCATGCTTTCATGTTGGGCCTGCAGTTGCACCTATAGTATGGGCAAAAATGACAGAAAAGAAAGTCTGAAGTAAAAGCTAGAAATGCAGCTAAACATAACACATGACATAACATAAACTCCATTTTCATGCCTGTCAAGCACAACCTACGGTCTAGCCAGCAATGCAACAATTCCCATCCCCACCTTACCTTTAATATATCAATAGAACAAGAATATCAATAACACAAGCCAGGGAAGCCACCACAGCTTCCATGCAAAAACAATGAGTCTAGCTAAGAATTCTGACAGGCAGTAAAAAAACTTAATAAGCATCTCAATTCGGGGGGTAAAATTTTAGTAAGTTCTACTTTAACATAGATAAGAGATATCCATGCACATTTACAGTTCTGATTCATCCAGTCCAATTAAGGAAAGAGCATCACTTTTTCTTTTCAATTTTATTTCTAAAATAATTGCTTATGTATTTCCTTTGATTGTCAATGCTACTAATTGGCCAAAAAAACTTGTCTAAGACTCTACTACTTGCAAAAGCTTGAAGATACAAGAGGGTTACTAGAGTAGTCAGCCAACCACCCTAAATGAAGTGCCAGTTAGACATGTAATATTTTGAGGCTTCAGTAGAAAACAGAATTCACCTTCTGAAGAACGAGCTTATATTCCACAAGTTCATTGTAAGAGCGTTGCAACTTTTCACCATTTGCATTCATCTCAGTTAATTCTGCCTCAAGCTCAGCAAGTTTTACCTATAACAAAGATGTATTATTGATTAACTCATAAGGTGAAAAACACCAGAGATTAAGATCAACAGCAGTATCCACTTACCTCTAAATCATCCATGTTCTCATCAACATCAGTATCCAAAGTTGTGGGTGAAACACCAGCCTTGAACATTTGCTCCTTGAAATATCGTAATTTCCGTGCCATCTCTCCACATCTTTTTAGCTTCATATAGGCATGTAGTAATCCAAGTCAATCACCATATGCAATAAAGAGTTTAATACAATATTATGATTACATGAAAAATGAAGTTCAATATTTATGCAGCAAGCTCCATTGTCGACATGTTGAAAACTCAAGGTCTTATGTAGTAGCTAGAAAGCAAGGATGATCCGTAACATTAAATTATTAAAAAGAATATTCAATAACTAATAAGCCATAACCATTAGTTTATCATTTCTCAAAGATATTATGCTCATAACTCTCGCAAAAACTGGTCAACATGTCCCCCTTAAATGATTCAAAGGGATAAAGATAGAAGTTGTCCACTCTCATGCTAGACACAAATAATTTAGTTAAACTAATAATAAATAAATGAATAAGCAATGGTGGAAAACATTGGAAACCAAATTTGTTTTGTTTCTTTGTTCATCAAATTAGAAACAAGCAAAGAAAATTCCAGAAGCAAGCCCCAAAAAAAAAAAGTGCTAATGATTGAGGCATCAAGCAGAAAAAACACACCTGACTAGCGTAAGTCCTTTGAAAAGGGCTCTTCTCAACATTGAGCTGAAATTCAGAGAGCAAAAAGCATTATATAGAAGAAATTAGAGATATCTCTGAAAAAAGAAGCAGTACATAACATGGGTTTAGACACAATAAGAACCAGGCTTGCATTGACAGTTTAATGTGCCACTGATCTAATCACTGACCCATTCGAATTCTTACTTTTGACTAGATAGGGAAAATAGCAAAGTAATACCAAAAAAGTATTAATACATATAACCATAGAGATTGCACGAAAGCAAGCCAGAACACGCCAGTCAAGCTACTCCCGAGTTTCCGGAGCAAAATTCAATCATATAAAGTCTTTAAAAATCCCAATGAGTTTTCGCATACGGTCAAATCCCCCAACTAAGTACCACACAGCACCTTCACTAATCTCAAACAGAATTGTTCCCCTATCGCGGATCACAATGCCAAGAAACTCTTGCCGATGACACTTGAAAAGGAGAAATCGATCGCACAACAAGAAACCGAATTATGTAAATCCGGCAAAAGTGAATGGCAATCGTCACACAAAAATACAAGATAAATGATCGAGGATTTATTGATCAGCAAATTGAGGAAGTGAGCAGAAGTATAGAGCTACTAACATCTTTGAACTGAAGAAGACCTAGATCACCGAGGTAGGAGACAGTAAGGTGAGCGGACTCCATAGGAATGATGAGCTGAACCAGCTGCATCGGCTCCGACCGGAAAAGATCCACCGGCGGGCAACAACCTGCGCGCCGTGCGTCGCCCATCTTCTCTCCCACTCTGTCACACAGATTCTCAAAAGAGATAGACTGATAGAGGATCACGGACTTCCGATCTCGGTCTCAATGATACCCCCGAGACGTCCTCCTTCCGTCTCTACAAGCTTCCACGTCCCTTTCCTTGTTGTGATTTATTCTTATTTTTCAGTGTTTTTTTTTTTTTTTTGACCCCCGGGAGATTGAGGCTTGGATTTTCAGAATTACCATGGCGGTTTATCTCTCATCACTGCGCGGCTTAAGTCATAATCCAAGAGGTATTTGGTCAAGAAAATAAGGGGATACTAGTACTATTTTTATTTAATTTCCACACTTATTTTATGGATGAGGAATTAATTTAATTTTAGGAGCTCATAAATAGTAGTAATTTGAATTTTCAATTTGGCTAGATCGTACAGATAATTTTTTTTGGGTGATCTATGGCTCGGTAAATTGAGGGATTTTAGTTAATTTTACATATATATTGACTATTATATTTTACTAGTTTAATTTTCTGGGTCTCGATTAAAAAAATAATTTAAAAAATCTGGTATGCTCAAATCTCGTTTTACTCTTTACCGTTTTTCTTTTAGAATTTAGTCCTTAATTTTTAAACTCTATCATAATACAATTACTTCATAATTGACTTAATTAACAAAATATCAATCCGGTTAAATTTTAACATTTTAAATTTATTTACTTATATTTTTAATAATAATATTATAATAATATATCATAACATATTATATTTGAACTATTATTTTTTAGTCAAAGGATGGAAAAGAAATTTTGATAAGAAAAGGAGAAAGAGGATTCTAAGAAATTTAAATCTCATATAATCACATGCTTTGCAAATAATTTTCAAATACGATTTATAAATAATATAATCTCTTGTATGTTTGTGTTTGGGAAGGGGATATTAAAAACTGTATTTAAAAAAAACCTTTTTTTATATATACGTGTTGATGTTGATGATGAGGCCTTTTATTTTGCACAGTCCATCTCATGAAATAAATACAGGATAGGAATTATTATTATTATTATTATTATTTTATGGGTAGGGACAGCAAATAATGAAAACCTGCTCTAACTCTGGTGTTGGGCCTACCAAAACCCAGTTTGGATTTCTCGCCACCACATATAACATTACCTTTTTCGTTTTCTTTTTTTCACCAGAAAACCCACATATAACATTACCAAAGCATCAATAAACGAAGTAAAAATAGTGGAAAAGGATCAAATGAAATGAGCATAATATTTGAGGGAAATGACCAAATTCAGAAGCTGTAATTTTTCTTGTATGGTTCTGCAACTTCTCTTTTCTTTCGTGTCCTGCAAGGTTTGGTCCTTTTCCCCAAGATATTATGATAATTTGGAACAATTTTCTTGGAAACGAAATTTCGTTCGGACCCAGAAGCTGGCTTTGATCCGTCCAGCAGGACATTGGCGGGTCTTGGTTTGTCCTTTTGCTATCATTTTGTAACATTGCATAATTAATTATCACACTTTATATGTGGCTATAAATGCTCAATATATACTCGATTTACTCGGGTAGTCGTCTTGTTCATAGTATACTACTCAGTAATAATAATTATTACTACCTCCGGTCCTTAATATAAGACCTTATTTGATTTTTATTTTGATCCTAAATATAAAACCCTGATTCACTTTGTTTCTCATATTTATAAATTTTTTTTCAAAGTAATCCTTTTAATAATGATAATTTTAGATAACAAACTTGGTTAGCAAGAATATTTTAGGAAAAATAACACCTATTCATTATAAATAACTAACTTAATTAAGTTTCTTAATCTCTTCAAATTAATCAAATAGATTTTATAATTAGGGTCGGTAGTATTATATATAATTTACCACTCTATTTGATCGTAGGTGCTCCTTAGCTAAGTAGTTTGGGTTCCAACCCCCCCCCCCCAAAAACAACAAGCAGTTGAAGGCTTTAACAATGAGTTAACAGTTCTTTGTGTCGGCCCAATCCCGATGCTCATGAACGCGGTCCCTTGAGTGAGGAGATCTTTCTCTATATTTTTTAAATTTTTGTTCAATCAAGTGAAGTGTGGAGATCCTAAGATTCAAGTAAAGAAAGATATAGACATATATTAATGATATCATTTCTGGGTCTCATAAAAGTGGAGCATGCTGTTATGTCTTCATGGGGAAAGAATTTTCTTTCTACAAATTTAGGGAGACAGAATGAGAGGTCCCGTCTCCCTTTTCTCTTTCTTTCCTTCACTTATACTTCAGATTTATTTGGAGAGAAAATTATTGAGTCCTTCAGTGTTTAAAGCTCCAAAATCACCTCTCCTTCTCTCCCGTACGTGTTGGGCACAGTTTCAAATTCTAAGATAATATTGTATGCTAGGTGGGAAAAAAAAAAAAGGAAGATAATATGGTATGCTAATATTTGTTCTCATCTAAATTAACGAATCAGAACTCTCTGATTGAGAATTAATAATAAGCTGCTCTGCAATGTAAGATCAGTGTAATTTAATAACTATACATACATATATCATAGCATCTTGTCAGGATTATGGTGGCAAAATTTTCAAGCCACTTAGTGAAATTTTGTATTTAAAAGCAGTTTTGGTTTAAGCATCTTTACATGCGTGTGTACAATATTATATTAGTACTCATCCAGTCCTTCATAAAAGACCTCTTTAACTAATTTGATTAGATTGAAAAAGTTAAATTAGTTAATTATAAAAAATATGACATGTTTCTCTTAAAATATCATAATCATCTTTCTTAATATCATTCCTCCCTTGCTTATTTGATAATGGTACGTTGAGGAAGTATCTATAAGTGTAATTTAGAAAAAATTGATAAATATAAAAAATAGATTTTATATTTAAGACTAAAATTAACTTAACAATTAGGTCATATATTAAGGATCGGAGGAGTATGTATGATTAATTGTCATATCGGCATCATGTGGAGGTTTATGGAATCAATAAGTAAAAGGTAATTAGATTATACTTGTCATGCATGTTACTTCTGCTAGCATGATATTATAGACGATTGATCCAGTGAAACAGATCCAAATAAAGCAGACCAATCAAGGTGCCGCTAGAATGCATACTTTTTTACATGTGTTTTCATCAAGTCATTTTTAAGTCTGATAAGTTTCTGGAGTTATATTTCAGTCTTTAATTTCCGGTACTTCTCCAATCTAGCTTCCTTCATATGTATACATGTACTGCAGGAAACTATATCTATACTAATTCATATATAAATTTTGATATGCGTACAAGCAAAGACAAGTATATGTACATGTGTTTTGCTGTGTTAGTGCTGTGAAGCTTGAAAACAAGAGGGACATAATACAAAGAGAAAATAAAATATTTTCATCTTGCTTGTTTTCTGTTCAATGTTTGGTTGTTTCGTTTTTATTTTTTTGGCCAACAATGTTTAGTTGTTAACTATTCATTATTGAAATTTGAAATTAAAACACATTATATGCTTGTTTTTATGTTGAAACTTAAGATTTGATGATGGCCTTTGTACACGCCACACTAAATTTAAAGCAATTACATCCCATGATATATTTTTGATATTATAACCTTAAACTTAATTGAATTTGCTTCCTTTCAATTAAATTGATTTTTGAAAAGAAAAATAAAACTAATTGTGAATGGCAAATTTAAAACGTTTCATGAGAATAGGTTATCAAAATTTAATAATTTTTGCTTCTTTTTTTTATCGACTACATAAATAGTTGTTTAATAGTTAGTTTCTTTATTCTTGGTCATTGTTTTCCACCTAATTTATATCATCCTGTTCTCGTGTGATTTTCATTCTGTGAGGTTTGATCAAACTTCTTTCTTCATACTTTTTATTCATTCCTTTTGTTTTCATTTTATTCTTCTTATGCATTTTCATTCACTCCTTTATCTTGAATACTGTTATGTTCTTTTTGTTTGGTGACATTATATTGTTGTCACCAAACAAAAAGAACATATGGAATGACTTAGACAGAGTGTGCAGGGCTTTTAATCAATTAAACATATAAGGTGGCTTTTAGATATTACAAAGCGTGTTTGATATTGTTTGGGTCGGTAAGTTTCAAGCAGATCCGGGCAAATTTACCACACTGCTTTGAAATATAGCACAAGCATATCGAAATCCCCCAAAACCCCTTGCGAATAGCAATCTTTTAAATATATATACACACAACAAGCAGGGTTTTAAGACAGTTATCTATTTACGATTACACTTCTTCATTTCTCAATTCAGACACTTGTTTATTGTTCAATTCATATACTTTGTGTTTACACTACTTAATTCTTTTTGTTTTCTGTTTTTTGAGTTACAAAAAGACGGGTTTGAACCTGCAACACATGCCCTACACACATACACGTACACATACCACTCGGCCAAGCAACCAGTGGTATTTATTCATTTGTCTTTTGTTTTTTTTTTCCCCTCCTCTGGATACTTCAATGAGTATTTTCAAGATGAAATCAATTTTGGAATTTTTAATTCCACTTTCTGCAAGTATCAGATATAAAATTTTGAAATTAGAAATATTTTAAAATTAAATTTAAATCTCTGATAAAATTGTGTCAACTCAAATAATTTTGATCCTGTACGTCTTCTGGATGAGAAGAGACAATGAATGTTAGGCTACAGTGTCCGCCTGATGATGCTTATGATGAAGGACAATACAATATAACGACTCAACAAGTAAATGTCGTTTTTGTATGGCCCCAGTCCAGATGCCCAATCATGTTGGTTATTGGTTTGAATATTCACTCTTTCTGCCCAGGAGGGCTGGTCGACTGGTTCGATAAGGGGGAGGGCAAGGCGCCGCGTACCCACCAGGTCTAGGGCTCGAATCCTGGGAAGTCCCACCTGGGGCGACTCCGGATTAGTCTGCACCAACGGTATATCCGGGTGTAGGATACCGGAGGGAGAAATCCAAAAATATTCACTCTTTCTGTACCAAAACAAGAATTCAGCCCTTCAATCTCTCCCATGTTGAATAGACGGTCTCAAGTTTGCAAGGTAAATTAATTAATTAAAGTAAATTTAAAGATAAAAAAAAGTATTAGCTCCAATCATAATTATAAGAACTAGTTGACTAATTTGAGGATATTAAGGAAGTAAGTTGAGTCAGTTATTTGTCTTAAATATGTATTGTCTTTCCTAAAATATTCTTGTTAATCAAGTGTATTGACTAGAACTATCATTGTTAGAAGGGTTACTTTAAAAAAAAAATACTCCTCCAGTCCTTAATATAAGACCCATTTAACTAATTTGATTAGATTAAGGAAGTTTGGTAAGTTAGTTAATTATAAGAAATGTGACACGTTTTTCCTAAAATATCATAATCATCTTTTTTAATACCTCCTCTTTCACTTCTACTTGATTAAGATTGAAGGAGTATCTATAGGGGTAATTTAGAGAAAATTTATAAATATGAGAAATGGGTCTTGTATTTATGACCAAAATCAACTCAACAATTAGGTCCTATATTAAGGATCGGAGGAGTATATAAATATGAGAGACAAAGTGGATTAGGGTCTTATATTTAGGACCAGAATAAAAGTCAAATAGGGTCTTATATTAAGGATCGAAAGTAGTATATATTACTACCTCCTGTCGCAAGTTGAAGATTGATTTTACTATGTTTAATATGTTCACATCTAAGTTACGTACAGAAAACGGATCAGAACTCTATGGTAAGGTGCGATGCAACACAAGATCAAAGCACCTTAATACTACTATAACCATATATTATGTCGTAGTGTCTTGTCAGGAAGAGGACAAATATTTTCAGGCCGCGTCGTGAAAATTCCTTGTTTGAAAAGTGGCTTTGGGTTAAGCATCTTTCTGTGCGTATAATATAATATACATATGATTATACATACATCAGATCAGCATCTTCCGGAGGTTTAATTTATTAAAATATTCGGTCAAAATTTTTTTATTAAATATTAATTTTATTAAGTTAAAGGCATTAGATCGCTCTTGCCTTGCATGTTACTTCAGTTGGCATGGACATGGTATTCTAGACTATTTACCCGCTGAAACATCGCTCTTGCCCTTGCATGTTACTTCAGTTGGCATGGACATGGTATTCTAGACTATTTACCCGCTGAAACAGATCGTAGTATGATAAAAGAGATTACTTTTAATTAAAAATCAAATATATACCAGAGAATAAAGAATACTACCTCCGGTTTTTAATATAAGACATAATTTGACTTTTATTTTATAAGATCTTAATCCATTTTGTCTCTCACATTTATCCATTTTTTTTCAAGATAATCCTTCTAATGATAGTAGTTCTAACCAATGAACTTAATTAGTAAGGATATTTTAGGAAAGACAACATCTATTTACTACAAATAACTAACTTAACTTATTTTCTTAATCTATTTAGAATTAGATTAGTCAACTAGCTCTTATATTTAGGACCGGAGGTAATATAATACTACCTCCTGTCTTTAATATAAGACCTCGTTTGATTTTTATTTTGGTTCTAAATATAAAACCTCAATCCACTTTGTCTCTCATATTTATGCAATTTTTTTAAGATAGTCCTTTTAATAATTATAGTTTTAGCTAACACACTTGATAAACAAAGATGTTTCAGAAAAGAAAATATCCATTTATTACAAATAACTAACTTAATTTATTTTTTTAATCTCTTTAAACTAATTAACTAGCTCTTATAATTAAGATTGAAGGTAGTAGTAGGGATCAAGGGCCACTACAATGCGTACTGCTCCTCTTGCAACGTTATTTTCTTTTAATTTTTCTTTCATTATATATCTGCGATGTGCTAAAAATGACGTTTAATTTGTTCTCTTGTGCGTTTATCTTTTCAAAGCAGAAGGCAATTTAAAACATTTGCCAATTAATTGTCGTATATTGTATTGTTCGATTGTCCTGCAGTGGATGCGCGGGCGTGGAATAAAGAGGATGTTTCACCGAATCACTCATGCGCATGTGCACTGTGTAAATAATAATCGTAGACAGCTTTATTAGATACTACTATCTCTTATTCATAATATAAAAACTAGTTTAATTTTTAATTTTATTTTATTTATAAAATTTCAATTCACTTTATCTCTTATATTTATCTATCTTTCTAAGAAAGTTTTTATAATAATGATAATTTTAACTAATACACTTAATTAATAGTGGTATTTTAGAAAAAAAATATACACATTTATTACAAATAACTAATTTAACTAATTTTTTTAATCTACTCAAATTAATCAACTGTTTTTTATATTAAAAACGGAAGGTAGTATATCATATGATAATACGCGCGTCTGCATTCCGAGTACAAAAGGATATATCCTATATTCCTTAATTAGGCCGTATGTGTGAGAGAGTGAGAGAGAGAGTATCAAGTAATCAAAAATATTCCCTCGCTTGTAGTTATAATTAGTCTCTGTGACTCTTTTCTCTTTAAGAGCTTGGATGCAAGCCCTATTACTCCTTCTATCTACATGCTTAAATTCTGCAGAAGCTAACTTTGAACTAATTAACTTCCACGAGACTTCTTCTTCTTCATCATGGATTTCTCTCCACGCTTGTGTGTGAGAGAGGGAGGGAGGGAGGGAGGGAGGGAGATGTTAAATCATATAGGAGTATATCATACACACACACACACACACACACACACATATATATATCTGATAAGCTTTTAGGGTTATGTATTCAACAATTCCAATGCTTCTTAACTGAGCTTCCTTACCCAGGATGAAACTAACAGTTCATATATAAATGTCTGTGTATACAGGCAAAGGCATGAATATATATACATACGTGTGGTGCTGTGTGAATGCGTACATATGAAGCATGAAAACAAAAGGCAAAATAATGTAACCACCAAATACTTGGATTAACTTGTAGAAATTCTTCTGATTTAACCAAAAGTCATGGGTTTGATCTTTTGGGAACGCAGTAATATAAGCAATAGAGTTGCTGCCCATATGAGTTTTATTATAGTCTAATTCACATTAATCTGGTTTGTAATTTTTTAAAAAGTTAACTAAAATACTAGGTGCAAACGTCAAAAAAGGGCAAAATGATGTAAAGAGAAAATTAATTAATATGCATATTTTCATTTGAATTTGCTGTTTTCCTCTATCAAGTGTTTGCTGTTTATTATCGAAACTTGAAACAAGCAAAAGAACATTATTGGGGGGAAACACGCGCACGCATATAAAGTAAGCTTGTTCTTATCAGGAAACTTGGGATATGATGAAGGCCTATCGACACACAGCACTAAAAGATATATATACGTGTGCGCTTGTGTGTTGAAGTACCATTGATAAGTCTTGAAATCTTGGTACTTGAACCAACAGACCCACTTTTTCTTCAAGCTGGCATAGTGCAACATAATGGGACAAATTAAGCAGACCCAAAGCTCGACGAGACATATAAATATCCGTATATATTATATATATACGTGTGTATATATATATGCACTCAACAAAACAAGACAAACAGTAAAACCTACTCATCTAGCTATACTTACATATATGGCCATACACCTGGCATTATACATTTAATATCAAATAGTTAGCTGAGGAAAGCTATTTTACATGATTGACGCCTTACAAGAAGTGATAGAGGCCCTGAACCCATACAATTGAGATGATATAAATCTACCCACAGCAAAGTTTGAGATGAGTGGCATTCTTTGCCTTGAAGAGCCTTGCGTTTGGGCGCACACTATCATAATCAAGTATTACCATGTATACTCGGCCGATTTTAAATATAAAAGTCATTTTATAATATAAAATTACATTCTAATCTTAAATATAAAACTCATTTTATAATATAAAATTACACTATAAAATAAGTCTTATATCTAAAACTAAAAAAAGTGTGTATATATATATATAAGCTTTTGGATTCAGAGAGAAAAAATACATAAAACACAGTGTCGTCGGGTGAAAGATATAAGAAAAGTAATTAAGTAACAGCGAAAATACCCTTAAAACTTCTTCATATCAAGATCATTTTAGTCAGAAGCTAGCTCTAGCTTAAGCGCCATCAAGAGTTTAATTAGTAACATAACCAACAGCACATTAATTCTTCCTGCATCTATTCTCCACACCTTGTCAAATAAATCTTCATGCCTGTTATTGAAGGCCCAGGCCAAGAGAAAACTACGAAGTCTTTGGTTGAGGAAAATATGATATAGCAGGCCTAAAGGTTCCAAGTGAAAGAGGATAGGAGGAAGAAGAAAAATGGTCAGCAGAAGAGGGTGGCATTATTAATGGAGGACGCACGGTGGGAGCATCATCATGGGATTGCATCATCGAACTGCCGACGAAATGGTCGTGCTGATTTTGAGGATGATTATGAATCAGATTAAGAGGGCCTTTTGAACTTTGACCAACAACGTTGTTATAGTAGAAGCTTCCAGGGCCTTGATCGTAAAGAACACCACTAAACACACGCCCTCCTACATTCACAGACGTTTGATATGCGTATTCGTCAACCGTATCATCCTCAGAACGCACCCGAACGCACCGAAACACTGCCGTCGAACTCATCACAGCCGGAAGCTTATTCAATTCCTCTAATCCTAAACCAGACAAGGCACTGTTTTGTGTCAGAGATCGAACAGCCATTATTTCTTTGGTAAACTAACAATATCTTGTTGGGATTGTTAGAGAAGACCTAATCAAAATATAGAAAATGATTGGAAGCCATACTACTATTGTTGGAGCAGTACAGTTACCTGGAGATGGATTATTATTTTGAGCGAGGGTTTGTGGTTGAGGTTGATGAAGAGGGCGCCTCCTACTGGTGCGAACCCAAGTGCTGCTGATATGAGTTTGGCAGCGAAAGCCTTTGTTGTTACAGCAAGTTCTGCATCTAATGAATTCGCAACCCTTCTTTGCTTGGTTCCCACAGTCTTGGCACTTGGTTGCTCCTCCTCTTCCTTTTCCTTCTCTTGTGATCTCTCTCAACATCTTTCACTCTCACCTCTTTTCAACCTTTCTTTGGCCTCTCTCTGCGATCAACTTTTGATCGATTTGTCAGAGATTGTCTCAGTGATAGGTCTTACACAACAAACCAGACCCTCTCTCACTCTCTCTCCCTAAGATTATATGCCTTGAGAATGTGTATGAGCACAGCACATCATCGCAGGAGAATCGATTCTTTCAGTGTGTTTGAAGATTCACCCATTGTGCTGCCGCGTAAGAAGTTTATTATAACCAATTCATGCCCAAAAAAGAAACGGATCGGATCTTATTCATATAGCAATAATTAATTCAAGTACAACCAGTTGCTTTTGCATTATCGCTGGAATTTTTAACAGTTTCATAGTTAGTCTCAATAATATTAAGATAATAGCATCCCCCAAATTAAAGCCGCAAGGACAAAGTAGAGAAAAGATAAAAGGGTTTGGAACAAGGTTTTGACTTTTGAGGTCCTAAGCGACAAAATATATGTTTTTGAAACCATGCCAATATAATGCAGCTTCAAATATGTATGAATAATTTCATTAAAGGTAGGACCCCGTATTATGTTATACCCATGTCAATGCTTGGACCTTTATATTGTAATCCAACCACTTATATATTTATTTTGATCCAACCCTTATATATGTGATCATGGGTGTCATAATTAATCTGATTTCTATACTTCATCTCCAGCCTCATATTATCTCTTTTATTAATTTTTACTTTTTCAATCTATGACTTGTCCAAATTAAATGTAGAATATAGATGACTCATTTTTAACTTAATAAATAACATGTTTATGTTTAATCTGCATGGTTCAAAAAATAAAGAGAGGAGGAGTAGAGAACCCACCCAATTGTAAGGTACTGTTGTATTTTACTTAATATTCAATTATATTGGAGCACTTTAAATTATATTATAAAATATAAGAAAATATATAAATTGATAAGAAGAACTTCCAGCTGTATTCTGCCTAATTAATCATTAATTATAGATGCATGTACTAGCCAGCTTCAAGGCTCAAGTAAATGACTTTAAAAATTTAATAGTAGCTCTATAAATAAAGGGGAAAAAGCAAAAGGAATTAAGCGTTTGTAAAAACCGTATAACGGCCCTCGTTGCCTTTTCCCTTCATTAGAGGGAAAATGTTAACGAGTGAACACTTTCTTTTCCTTGCTTAAAAAGGAACTGGGACTGGGAGAACTCTTGCACCCTCCCTTGACATTTCAATATAGAAAATTCTCAGTAACCATGACAAGACAAGGGGAACAAAGAAGAAGCGAAAATTCTATGGTGGAGTTTGCTCCTCTCTGTTTTTTTTGGGACCAAAACCTCTCTGCTACTTTTGAACGAGGATTAAAAACATACATTAAATACACTTAACCTTGGTTGGTTTTTATTTGTAATTAAGACAGAGAAAATTGGGTAACTTCCGCTTATAATTAATACCAGAGGGTGTACTAGTTAGAGTGCCAACCAGGTGTAAAAAGAACTACTCTTAAAACAGATCTAATTTTAGTATTCATCACAATGATAAGTATAATGAGACTTATCAAATCTCAACCATTCAAATTTAATATGGACGGCTGAAATTTAATATTTAATATTTTTGTTTCTTAAAAAGTACTCCTTCCGTTCCTTATTATAAGAGAAATTTGATGCTTATGGCATGTTCCCATATATAAGAGACACTTAAAAGTTTTCTCTATTTTTTTGTATTGATTTCTTATTTTACCCCTATTTATTTTGTCTCCAACTCATACTCTCTCTTCCTCCCACTTCTCTTTCTTTTAATAATTTAATTGTTCTCTCTCATACTCTCTCTCCTTATTAATGGGGGCATTGTTGGAAAAAATATTATACTTTTTACATATTAATTGTCCTCAACTAATTTTAACTGTTTTTTTTATTAACGTAATTTAGTTATTTGTCTCTTATAATAAGGAACGAGGGAGTATTTTTCTTTTAATAGGTCTGTAATCTAAAATAAATATAATATCTTAACTTTAAGTTTTTTTAAAAAATAAATTTTTTATTTAAAAATTACTAGTTGAAAATTTTAAATCTAAATCATAAAAACTGATTTTAAATGATTTAGATTTCACTACAGCATAATGCTCATCACTGTAATAAACGCTGAAACTCGTTCTCTCTCGAAATCAGTTTGGTTGCTAAAGGTTGGAGAAATGGAAACGATGTATCCATTTTGCCACGAAGTGTCGGTTGCACATTTACATTCGTGCCATCATTCATTCTCATGGGAAATCCAATGCCACAAATGTGGGTTTCAGCATATCCCATCCCACCTGCTGACTTATCTTCTCTCCCCATCTTAATCATTTGTTTTTTGTCCTTACACTGTTCGGTCATAAGTGTAGAAACTCACTGAGGCACAACGACATTCAGTTTCCATCATCACTGTTAGACTTCTGTTCACTTCTCAATTCATCTACTTTGTGTTCACTTCTTAACTAGTTGCTTTCCCCGTAAATGAAAAAGGCGAGGAGGGCCTTCATACGGTTTTCCCAGCAAACTAGGTAGAGCTAAAATCTTTAATACATATATATATATTTTAATCAAGATGTAAAGTTACAAACTCTTTTTTGCTTTGCTTGCCTCTTCAAAAAGATACTGCCAAGTAGTTGGGTGGCTAAAGCGTTGTATAATTTAGTCGTCTTCTTAACACCTTACCCTTTTTCTTTTTCTTTTTTTGCCAAAATTCTTTACACATTACTTGAGCGCGAAGCTAGTGCATGGATCTATAATCCGTTGAGTAAAATCCAGTTGAAAGTTAGAACTTATGGCAGTAGAAACATCAAAAGAAACAAGACTCACTGAAATGTTTGGATGGCCGGGGAGAAATTTAGAATTCTTAAGTTAGTCAATCCGGCTTTAAATTAGTGCCATCTGTGCCTCTCAGATAACAAACTTTCCAGTTTCCAGCCCTATTTTCCATCTGACGATTATGACATACTTCTTTCGTAGAAGATGATCAAACAACTTTGAAAAGAAACCACAACTACCCTAAAAGTAAAGGCCTTATCAATCCCAACATGACCTGATTCGATTTGCAGAGTCAGCTAAAAAGAAGTGAAAACGAGAATACGGATTTCACAAACAGAAGATGCACATCCCCAAATACCAAATTTTCCATCTTCCGAGCGTAGCCAAACAAACACGAGGCAGGGATATCAACCTGTGATTCCCCCACCATGAACACTCAGAGTCATGGGCTTAAAAAGACAAAACAGAGTTATTTCAATTCAAACTCCTTGATCTTTTATTCAGGATGCCCATTTCCTGGTAAGTTTCTACAATCAGGTCAGAAGCGATTCACGTGGACCCAAGAAATTAACCAAGCAACGTAAAAAGGAAAAACTATTACATCAAATACGTAATTATATATACACAACAAATGGCATCCACATAAAAGAAAGACGAGCTTTCTTATCATAAGGATCAATTACATCCTACCCCTAATCCAAGACTCTTTCTTGAAAGGACGAGTCTCCAAATACCTTGTGCTTAAACGTTAGTAATTGTGCTTAAGACCAAGCCCATGCTTGCCACGAACACATCCAGGCCTTACATACAGATATGGTGACCTCTTAGAGTTGTTCATCTTCGAAAATGCCCTTTTCCCCAATTTCCTCATCCTCTGCCTCCCAAATTTAGTGTTCACAGACCACGGAACGAGCTCATCGTCCAAATCGTAGCCATCGTAATCACCCGTATCCTCATAGTCATCCCCACCGTAACCATCTGCATCGCCATCACCAGATTGAGACCCATCGATCTCATTCTCAACATCGTCAAAACAGCGATCGCCGTTGCTATCTTCGGCGTCATCAGGCTGGTCCTTCAGTTTTGGGATAACGAAATGAGGAAGGTGATAACGAATGCCATCGATCGGTCCTGTATTGGGAGAAACGGACCAAGAAATCGAAGAAACCCAAGAACCAGTTCTCTTCTGGGGAGCGCTATCACCATCTGCATCGTCCTCCTCCTCCTCCTCCTCCTCCTCCTCCTCCTCTTCTTCTTCTTCGTGTGCTTCTTCAGAATCCAGAACGTTGACAAATTCCCACTGAGAGAGAAGATCGTCTTTCACTTCCAAGAATTGAACTTCTTGGAGGAGAAGGAACTCAACAGAAGATGTGTTTTCCATTGCAAGTTAGTAACCTCTCTTTCTCTGTGATACGGATGCGTCTTCGGTGTTTTCTGGCTTGCTTTGATTTATAAAGGCGTTGCTTGCGGGACGAAGATGATGTGTCCCAATAAGAGATCGCAACCTTACGTGCTGAAACCAATAGGCAATCACCACGTGTAAGTTTACATCTGCAAGTAACGTTCAGGACTTTACTCTGACTAAAAAAACAAAAAAGAAAAGAAAGAAGGGATTTTATTTGTGATAAAAACAAAGAACTGGACTTTTTATCGAAGTTTAGAATGAACTGGACTTTTTTCTTTTTTTTACTTTTTTTAAATAAAAACAAAGATTTAAATTTCAAAACTAAATAAAAGACTATGAATTAGCCGCTTAGAGTTTGAAAAAAAAAAAAACCACGAAAAGTGGTTAGTTAGGGGGGAAGGCAGACAATTTGGTCTAAATCAACCCCTATAGCAGATCGACCTCCAGAAGTTTCATACAAGAGGGAAGTTTTTTTCGGTGTCAGTTGAAAAATAATCCCTTTATTTATAACTGCCGAAGCATCCAGATTTAATACAAATATTTTATATTTTATATTACATGATATTATATATATATATATATATCATATTTTTCATATGCACCACAAGTGCTCTTCTCAAATCCAAACCCTTCATATTACCACCTCTTCTGGTTCTAAATATAAGAGTTAATTGACTAATTTAAGTAGATTAAAGAAGTTTGTTGAGTTGGTTACTTGTAATAAATAGGTATTGTTTTTTTTAAAATACCTTTGCTAATTATGTGTATTAGTTAAAATTATCATTTAATGAAACTTCAATATGTATAATTACTACAAGGATTATTTTAGAAAAATTGAATAAATATGAGAAACAAAATGAATTCAGGTCTTATATTTAGAACCAAATTAAAAATCAAACTAATTTTTATATTAAAGATCGGATGTAGTATTAAATTTGAGTTATTCAGATTCAATTTACTTTTAAAATGATAAGCCGAGGAACGCCTGCTCGTTCGGGATTGGAACTTAGAACAGCCATAAACTTTTAATACGAATACCCATATGATAACTTCTCAGTTCTCTTGCGCCATCTAGAAAGAAATTCTCCAAGCAACCATAAATTCTCTGAAGATGATTCTGCTCTTCAGAAAATGAATCTTGTTCATCTGGCCAATGACAATGCAAGGAAGCAGAATAACTAACAATCTTCTCTACTTTGATGAGATGATGGTGGTGGTGCCATATATCGTTCTGGTTGATAAAACTTTCCTCCGTTAAATGAAGAAATTTTTTTAATGCAACAGCTTCTAAGCGATGTTAAACAAAGACGTCCTTCTCAACGTTCGGTTGAAGTCAAGATCATTAACCTTTGGGTCCATCAAAGGGGTTTTAGAGCAAGTTGAGCCTTGAGTTTATTAGGATTCTTTTTGTTATCCAAGTTTAGGATCGAATGATGGAAGAAAGGTTTCTGTTGAACAAGCTTCTGAAAATGTTAAGCAAGACATCGGCTCTGATAGATAAGCGAAGCCCTATATCCCAAGGGAGCATTATGTAAAATTTTAATGACATTAGAATGATTAAAAAAGCCAATATTGGATTATCATCAAAATGAACAAAGTCTAAATCATTGTAACGTACAGCTCTTAGAAATTGCCATCAATTGTGCTGATAATTTGATAACTATTCAACGTAAAATATTTATGTCATAGCCAATCAATAAGGACCCCCAGTTTATCACAGAAATAAGAAGCAAGTGGCCAATGATGTCCGCATGCATTCAGAAGTACATTTGTCCTCCCTGTTGTAATAACATAAGCAAAAGGCGAGTACTCTCGCCCATAAACTAACAACAATAGGCAACAGTTAAAGAACTGAAGTATGCGTCTTATAATAAAAATCAAAATCAACTAAATGAGAGGAAAAAGAAGACAAACTCAAAAAGGAGATACACAAAAACAAGTCCTTCATTGCTATCAATTATCTTTACCTGCTTAAAAACTGATGGACCAACAAATCGCACTCCTTAAAAAAAGTGACCCAAAACTAATGTTGAAACCAGGTCCTAGCACAGTAGTTTGATCACCGCACTTGGGAAGGGGAACAGAGTAAACCAGAAGCATCTGCACCTATGGCTGCAAGATCACAAACAGTACATAACTGACCCTCTTGGCTTGGCACGAACCTGGAACTACAGTAAGGGCAAGAGACATCCTTCTGTCCTCGATAGATTGGCACATATGTTGCACCACAGATCACAAATGGGTTTCGGAAATCATAGTTCAACTCTGTAGTATCAGTCATATTCTTTTCTGCAGCAGCTAGTACTTGTCTCGCTGTCTTAGCTTGGTTTTCAACGGTTGGATTGGTTTCAAGTAGCCTCCGGGCAAAATTTGCAGCTGTGGCAAGGTTTTTAGCCTTGTAGCAGACACTCATAGCATTCAGTAGGGCAAGCCTCAAATGAGGAGTTTGAAGGTTGCAGTGAGTGAAATATGCAGCGAGTTCTTGCTGGCGTACTGGATTATCCTTCATTTCTCGTCTTTTCAGCTCCATTTGAAGACCCAAAACATATTCCTTAACTATAATAATTAACTCCTTTACTTCATCAACTTCCCTTCTTGACTCAACCACCACCACAGGAATAGTATGAAGAATGCTAGTGAAAAGCCGAAGAGCCTCAGTGAATTTCCCAGCTGTTGTTGCCTTGTAACTAGCTTTGAGTTTCTCTTCCAATTGAGAGAAATTGAACACGAGAGCTGGTGGACACCTAACGTTAGGGCTGGCAGACTCACTCCATCCTCTCTCAACTGCAAGAGAAATCACCGGAGTTGATGAAAATGCACGCAGATATGAATAGCTTCCAGTATGAAGATCAAGAAACAGAGGTTTTAAAGGGCCAAAATTTCTAATGCCGAGCTGCCTGTTTAGCAACCGCATTGCAGTATCAAAATTGCCGGCAGCAGCATGTTCAGCTGCGAGGGATGACTTTTGGATCCATATTTGGCTCACTGGCATGCCAGGAGTTGGAGCCACAAAAACTGCAGAGCGAGCATTTGCAGAAATCTTGGGGGTTTCTGCTTCAGGAGGAAGTTCAAGATCTTCAAGCTCCCATCCGCCTTCTTCATCATCAACTTCAGCTGCTTCATCCTCCAAAGTTGCAGTAACATCCCCGTTCTGTAGGCCGTCTTCATCAACTAAATCAAGCTCCTCACCCCAATCAGCCTCATCAGCTTCATACTCTTCATCAGCACCACCCCGACCAATATTGTCAAGTCCATTATCAAATACACCTCGCATGACCCTAAGAAGGGGCCAATCACCACCACACATGACCGGGGATGGTGGCATCATGAGAGTAGGTACTTTTCCCTCAGGTAAAGATGGAACATTATCCCCTAGTTCAGCTGCTAGTCGTTCAGCAACATCATGTAAACCATGGATTGAAGCAGTGACGTAGGCCAGAGGCAAATGGCCCACACTCTCCAAAATCTTAACGCGTTCACGAACATCACCCATATATAAGGCATTGTGAAACTGACCCATAACATCATTCTTTACTTCAGCAATTTTCAACATCTTAGAAAGCTTTTCCATGTTACCAGTTATGAGATAAAGGAAAGACAATCTCTCAAAATTTTTAGTCCTCTGGTAAGCGTATTCTACTATACCAGCATTGCCCTGGCGAAGAGCCTCTACTCCCAACCTGTACCAGTGATCTTTTTCATCAATTGCTGTAGCTGATGCAACTGCGATTTGAATGTTCCCACTCTCTAAAGCCAAATTGAACCGAGTTCTCTCATCCTTCACAAAGTGAAGAGCAACTTCTGGAAAACCTTTCTGTTGTAGATAAGCAATTACTGCCTGCCCACAAAGCTGTGAGTTTCTTATCATGTTCATAACATTATCATACCTTTTCCTCAGCAAAGAAAGCTTGAATAAGTACTCAGTTGCATCAATAACTATAGATCTGTTCTTCCCATCCCTATCCAGACAGAAGATGGTATTTCCAGAAACCTTTGTGATATAAATCGGGACATCTAGTGTTTTTATTATCCCACTATCTCCATTGGGTAGGCAGTACTTGATGTGATTTAAAGTTGTGTAAATGAAAACACCATTATCATCCCAGCCTCCACTTTTCACCCGGATTGTCTCATGGAGAGTGCACTGATGCACAAGCTTCTTGTTTGCAATGATAATGGCATGTTTGCTTAGCAAAGCAACGCTCTCCATGTCATTTGACCAAACAACATACTTGACAAAAGGAGTCTGAAGATCACCGAGAACAATCCTTTGCTGGAGATCAAATACAAAAACCTTATCCTCTGCCCTGCAAAGCAAGTTACCTGTCCCTGCATAGAATATAGCATCTGTGGCAAGGGGGAGAGGACTCTTCTTTACAACCTCATTCTTCAAGTTCTTCAATAAAACTTGGTTGCTACTTTTGTCAAGCACAGCAAACCTGTTGCGAGCCACAAATACAGCAGATCCTCCAATGCCTCTCTTCGCATCCTGCACATCTCCCCTACCAAAGCTATCCTTGGGTATGACATACAACTCATAAGTTCCCCCATCTGTATCCGAGCAGAGAAGAACAGCATTTTCTGTTGGACTGTAAGAAAGTGTCTTTGGACTTTGATTCAAGCTAACAGAACCAGGTCGCCGAATAGGAAGGACTTGTGACTCTCTCTGAGTTGAGAATTCATAGAATCTCAAAAATCTATCTTTAGTATAAAAGACGGAGTCTCCACTAACTGAGAATGCTGGTCGCTCTCTCTCCAGCTTAAAGACAATCATGCCACTATCATGACCAGCTGCCAACAGGTTCACTTCAGGGTGTGCAGCCAGAATCCAAAACCGGTCATGCTCCCGACGGAAAGTTTGAATTCCAGTTCTCTTTGTAACATCCCAAACCCGAATACTTTTGTCCTCAGAATTGGATACAATTATGTCCTGTTTTGCATGGAACATAACACATGATACATTATTTGTGTGCCCCCTTAATGTGTCCACTTCCCAAGCCTTTGTCTCTGCAACCAAATTAAAGGTTAGCTCTTAGTTTTAAAATAAAGAAATCTGAGATGGATAGAGTAGTTGGGATTCAAACGTCATAACCTCTTGGTACAATAAACCCCACAGAACATAAAATAAAGACTTTTGCATCCAAAAATTAATCATACAAAGATAAAACAGCAAGTTATGAAGAAATGTTAAGACAACTAGAGGCCCCTATTAATAATTTAATACAAAATATGATGTAAGCACAGGGAGGGGAAGGGAGAGAGCGGAGAAATCATACCATTCATTCTCCATAATTTAACCTGCCGATCATCTGCTCCTGAGACAATGAGAGGAAGTGTGGGATGAAATGCGGCCCAATTGACTCCTCTATCATGACCCTCTAAAACATACTTGACGACAGCATCAATACCACCAAAAAGATCTGTATTCATCTGACCCAATCTGAGGATGTCATCCGCAGGAGAGGCAGTCTTCTTTTTAAGAGAACTAATATCCCAAACACGAACAGTCTGATCTAAAGAGGCAGAAACAACAAGATCTTCTTTAGGGTGGAAAGATGCGCACATTACATAATGATTGTGTCCAGTCAAGACTGACACACAGGTGCGAGACTGCCAGTTCCAAATGCGAATAGTCTGATCATCACTGGCGCTCACAATCCATGGGGATTCATGATGAAACTGCACTGTACGGATATAATCAAGGTGCCCCAAAAGAGTAAACAGACACCTATGCATCTTGTAGTTCCAAACTTTAATCTTGTAATCATCCCCTACAAGACAATAACTTCACATCAATGCATGTGATATACCACTAGTAATAACTTCATTCACTGATCCAGAATGCACTTCCCCCTGAACTGATATTCACCCCAATAAAAAGTGTCCTCTATCTTGAAGATCTATTCTTCTTGGTAATTTTTTATATGAATTTATTATTTGTAAAGTAAGCTTACTAAAAAAGAGAAGGGAAGAAACACGCACACGCAAACACACACATAATGACACTGACTTTAAACGGTTCAGCCCCTGAAGAGAAAACTCCGTATTCTGAGTTCTTCTAGTAACCAATCGATCAATACCAACTGAGATAATAGGGAACATATTTCAGATGCGCACAATATAGAACACTCACCAAAACTACTTCAACGCTGGGGGATAACTAGTCAACTTGGTGAAAAAACTTTGGACTGATGTCCGCCTGGAGGGGTTGGGAACAATATACACAATTACAAATAAAGGGTCTTTTACCCTGATCTCGACCACAGCCATAAACACACAAACAATATATACTGGATCTGATAGTTATCCCACCCTCAATCCAGTTCTCGTGATCGGACATATAACTTGAATTTCAAATTTACTTATCCTTTTAGTATCTGCATTTTTTATTTTTCATTCTTGATTTAGTTTATTTGCAACTCATCGATATAAATCACCGAGATACATAGGCCTTCGATCGATTCAAATATCAGGCTTTCCAACTTCCCTTTTCAGTACATGCATCAATGGATCAGCTTGATAAACAAGGGCACTTACCGGATTTGTAATGCTAATGAAATTATAAAACAAATACCTCCAGAAACAAACAACGGCTGAGTTTTGTGGAAATGGACACCCCGTACAGGTCCATCGTGCTCATCAAATCTGTCAATTAGAGTGCCCATGCGATAGTCCCATAGCTGGATAACGCCACTGTGAAGACTCGCGAGGATCCATGGTCTCTTGCTGTGAAAACTCAGGCCCTTCACTCTATTGCTCTTGGTCTCAAACTTTGTCAACATCTTTGCCGATCACCTATCCCCGAGTCCGTATTCACAATACCCACCACTGAATCAGATAAAATCCAGCAAATCAAAGAAATCCCCCTCCCCAAAAACTAGATCAAACCCAATTCGAATAGAACCAAAGACACTGACCTCTGATTCGGCGTTGAGCAAAGCCTTCAGAGATGAAGTGTTATTCGAAGCTGAGCGACACTTCGAAACCACAAAACAGAATTGTAATGTAATCTATAAGACTGAGAAAACTCCAATTGGAGACGAATCCGTATCAGATAGAGATGGGGGTTCGAAATTCAAGGAATGAGAGAGGAATTTCAATCCCTTCCCAGATCTGGGTCGGGCACTGATTTCAGTCGAGGGAAGGGCAATTTCTTGAGGGTTTTTAATGAAAATGGCCATAGCTGAATTGTTATAAACTACATTTTGTATTGTTTCTCCCCTCAAATTGAATTGTTGGTGGTCGTGCGATTGATTTCCGAGGGCTCTGATTTGCCGTATTGCGGTGATGGTAAGGCAAAAAAATAAAAAAGTGTAATAGTACCATTTTGGAGAATGAATGGGATGACAGTAATTAGCGGGTTGAATCCGATTTCGGCCAATTTTGCGATGAGCGCATTTCCTTAATTTTATTCGCGTTTTCTTATATTAATATTTATTAATAATAATTACTCCCACAACGACAACTTGACAAAGCATAGATGCATATTTTAAAATTTTATTGTTAAAAAAAAAGATATCATTTTCATTTTTCTTGTAATTTTTACAATAAAACCATACGAAATTTAATTATTTAGGCACTCATCAGAATTTTTCAATAGCTAGCTCCGTCCCACTTGTCGTCGGCTCTTGTCTTTTAACTGATAATAGAATTGTTCTTGAATTTTTGAAATGGCTACAATAATTTTTTTAGACTATTTATAACTAAAATAATTATAATCAAAATTATTATATGTCTATACAACTAATAGAATGTGACAATGGCAGTAAGAAAAGGTAAAGAATGCATTCGATCATTAAGGGATTTGTGTAAATGGTACCATTATTAATTAATTATTTTAATCTCACAGCACACATTTTATGGCACCGCAACCGCTTCACTATAGGCTACCAATTTTTGTAATATTCCTTTCCGTTTATTTATTTAATAATCATCTTACTACCTCCTATCATTAGTATATAGTTAATTGGGATAATTAATCCGCAAGTCCTTATAGTTTCAACGAATTTTGAATTAGGTCTTTATAGTTTTTTTTCTTTTTATCAGATCCTTATACTTTCACTTGTTTTTAATTAGGTCCTTGTATTTATTTTTCTTTTTATCAAGTCCTTATAAGTTCATTTTATTTTTAATTAAGTCCCTGAATTTTTTATTCTTTATTTTATGAATTCTAATAGTATTATTATATAAACATAAAATAGTATATATTATTTAATATTAGTTTATAAACAATAATATTCTAAAGATATTGAATTATTATAATGATTTTAAATTTTTCAGCAAAAAAATTAATTCTTCTAAAAAATTTTCCTGAATTAATTAATTCTATTATTTTTTATTACATAATTATTAATTTAATTTACTTATTAATATTTTATATTTCATTATTAATCTATTTAATTAAGCTTATATTTAATTAATAAATAAAAATTAAAACTACATGGACCTGATTAAAAATTTAATGAAATTATAAGGACTTAATTAAAAGAAAAATAAATACAAGGACCTAATTAAAAAAAGGTAAAAGTATAAGGATCTAATAAAAAGAAAAAAAACTATAGGGACCTGATTCAAAATTGGTTGAAACTATAAGGACTTACGGATTAATTAACCCTAGTTAATTTAATTTTTAATTTATTTTTAAATATAAGATTTTAATCTATTTTATTTCTCAAATTTAATTATTTTTTAACTAGTTATTATAGTAGTTGCACAAATAAAATATTTCATCAAATAATAATTCTAACTAATATACATTATTAGTAAGGATATTTTTAAAAAAATAATATTTAGTTATTGTAAATAATTAAATTAACAAATTTTCTTAATATACTTAAATTAATCAATTAGCGTTTATATTAATAACCGAAGATAGTACTTTTTAATTACTACTCCCATCTAATAAATACAATAAGCGACTGGGCATATGGGTGAGCAAAACTGAACTGTAACCGAAAACCGAACCGAATCGAACCGAATTTAATTTTGGTTTTTCGGTTCAGTTATTTCAGTTTTTGGTTGTATATTCAATTTTTATTTTTTGTAATTATTCAGTTTCGGCATTTGGTTCGGTTAATAGAAAAAAAAAATTCAGTTATAACCGAAAAACGAAAATAAATATATTATATATTTATATTTAATAAATATTATTATAATAAATATATATGTGGATTTATGTAAACTCTTTAAATATATTTATATTCAATAAATATGATTATAATAAATCATATTAAATGATGAAATATTTAATAATTAATGGTTGTAATTGTGTTTTATTGTTATTATTAATATTAATTTAAAATATTTTTATATTTATATATTTTGGTTATTCGGTTAATCTAACCAAAATATTTCAGTTAATTCGGTTTCGATTAGTTCGGTTATACATTTCGATGTTTAAAATTTACTTTATTCGATTATTTGGTTATCACCAATAACCGAACTGAAAAACTGAATACTCACTCCTAACTGGGCATAAACAGCGCGCGAGTGTGCGTGTGAGAGAGAGAGAGAGGGAGAGAGAGATTTTTTTTTTAATCATTTCGTGTCCCCCATGAATAGGAATATGGTATAGGTTAACGTGGGCTGAGGGGTTTCGAGGAGATGAAGTTTTGGGTATAGAAGTTGGAGGCCCAATCATGAATTCCTTCTTATTGGACAAACTATGATTTAAGTAAAGCCTATTAATGTTTTTGAAGGCCCACATAAAGCTCAATTCTTGAATTAGTGAAGCTATTAGAAGCCCAAGCGATCAGTGGCCTATATCTTTTTCTACGAGGGCCCATATAAAGCCCAGTAGGCATTGCGTAAAATTAGCCCGAATCAACAAAGCCTCGGGCTCAGGCCTTTTTTTTAACATTTGTTCGCTTTTATTATTCAAATCCTTAATTCCCTGAATCAAACTGGTAAAAAAAAAAAACGTTGGAAAAAAAAACTGGTAAAAAAAGATTATGCTCATTTAAGAAATTAGAAGTAAAATCCGCACAATGGTTTAACTACTTCTGTATGTACTGGAAATTTGTATAAAATTAGATGAACAAGAGTACACTTTTATCTGTTACCCAAAAAAAAGTGCCCCTTTATCTAATGTTTTTTTTAATTAAAAAGTTCATTAAAAATATATTATCTCTGATCCTTAATAAAAGAACTACTTTGACATTCACTTTGATCCTAAATATAAAACCTCAATCTACTTTGTTTGTCCATTTTTTCAAATTATCCCTTATAATAGTTATACATATTAAAGGTTTCATTAAATGGCAATTATCGCTAATATATATCATTAGCAAGGATATTCTATGAAAGATAATATGTATTTATTGCCTAACCAATTTAATAAATTTTTTAAATCTATTCAAATTAGTTAACTAACTCTTATATTAAAAAACGAATATAATATTTGGCTAACCTAGCAACCACTTAAGAATGTGGTTATTTCCAGGTGACATGAAGGGATGGAAATTGGAAACTCACACCTGCAGTCAATTCAATTGAGGCAAGTCTTTTTTCCCCACAAAGTCCTTTGACTAATAATGCCAGAACTTACGGCAGAACGAAATTGCCTGAGTAAATAAAAGGAAAGGCAAGAAGTAAGAAGTTAGAGTGAGCAGGCTAAATGGGAAAGAGTGGGTCGTGGCATTTAATATGGGAAGCATGGCATCCCAATCAGAAAGGGCGTTATGTTTCATTTAAAAGGGGCCATGTGAAGCATATATGCAACTTGCATTGTGAGGCAAATAGAATATTATAATTAGGTCCCCAGGTTCCGTCACCATCCCTGCCTCTCCATCATAACCATATGGCCTTCAGACCTTTCAACTGGACTACTTTTCATTCTTCTTCAGCACTGCTTTCTTCCTATCTCCTCTTTTTTGTGATTAAAGAATTGCTGGAATGCATTCAATGCTTTAATCGGTTGAACCGTCGACCCGACTCGTTTTGTTAGCAGCTCATTTTAAGCTGAAAAATATTTTTATGGTCAAGTTGGGAGTTGGGAGTTGGGATTGGATGGAAGTTGAGCAGGCATTGGATCAAAACTCATAATCAGGCAAATACCTACAATGACTACTAGAAACTCTGGATAGGTTTTGAGCCTAACACAATTATATTATGTCATTTTATGGAAAATCGAGAGTTGCTGATTTTTTCATTTGATGTCCGGTGCAACTTTTAAAACCATGATAGTATCCTCTCCTTCATACACTTTTCAGCTTAATTAGATCATTCATTCTTGGATGGTGTGTGCTTGAGATGGGATTACTTTTATTTGGAGGTTGTTTGGGATTACTTCTCCGGTTATAAGAGTCTTATATTTAGAACCGGAAGAGTATTATTTTATTTAAGGCAACGAATACCACATCTGTATTTCTGAAACTTTTGAGAAAGTGTTTTGGAAGTAGTCATAAAAAAATTTATCGTATGCACACATTATTAATTTGGATAATATATAGTTAATAAATAAATACAATAACTTGAGTTTGAAGAGAAACAAATGCATAATTGACCAAACTTCTAATGACAAAAGCTCCAGAAGAAAAATCTTCAAATTACAAACTATACATATCATGCGATGCATTTTAATATTTTTATACGCAGTCAAGCGATTTAAGTATAAAAATCAAGTGAAGGAGATCCAAACACATCATTGAAAGTTGAATATGCATGTGAGGAAATTCATTGGAAATAGAAGAATGAAGCACGTCGTGGTTTTAAAATGCGTGAAAGCAATCATCGTAGTTGTTATCTTCTAAGTTCAAAGTCACCCATTTTTAGATTCTGACAAGTTGGATATATATTCGTATATCTTCTACATCATTCTGTATTATTGGTTCTAAGATTCCCAAATCCAGATCTCCATATCCATTCTGAAAAAAGTGTTATTTGTCGTCTACTTCCTCTCAGATCTTTCCCCTTTCAACCTTCCCCAATTGCTATCGCTTGTATTTAAATCCAAGCATCAGTCCAGAAAATATATATATATTTATATCCAACCAATCATAAATGTACTCAACAACCGATAATTAGTGCTATCACATAATTAACAATATAAAGGGCATGTATATTTTATATATAGATATATGATTATTTTTACAATTTAATATCACATGATTAATCATTTTTATACACAATATTTTTTTTATTTAATTCCAAGATATGAAGTATTTTTAAATTAAGCTAGGTTTAGCTATTGCCTGTGCCTGATTAGAGATAATTCTCTTGATCTAATTTTTCCTATTTGGTGTCCTTCCATTAAAGATATCTTTAAAGCATTCTTAGAAACTAAATGTGAATACTTCTTTCAGTGAAAATTAAAATTTTGATTCGTCATATTGCAGCAGGCTGGCATTTTTCACTGAACTTAATTATTGTTAGTTGATCTAATTTTTTCTTATTTGTATGATTAGTTGCTTTTACTTATTCTCACCCATCATTAGTATATATGATAGATTTTCTCATTCGTGTGTGGATGTAATTAATAAGGTCACATAATTAATTTAAGTATAATAGGGACATCAGCCTTGCATTATTAGGTACTATATAGTTACCAGGAGTTCAATCATCTAATTCAAAAAAATTAGTTAATAAACAGAGTTTTATGTGTTAAATTCAAGCTCAATTTTATCAGTACATCACAAACCAATTCCAGCGGAACAAAGGTCAAATCTACATAGAGCAAAATTCAAAGCGATTACAATGCAAAAGTGCAATGAGCAAGCTCAACGTGACCCAGGCCCCACATTTAACTGACTATATACTACCTCCGATCCTAATTATAAGACCTAATTGACTAATTTGAGGAGATTAAGGAAGTAAGTTAAGTTAGTTATTTGTAATAAATAAGTGTTGTCATTCCTAAAATATCCTTACTAATTAAATGTATTGGCTAGAACTATCATTATTAGAAGGACTATATTAGAAAAAAGGCATAAATATAAGAGATAAAATGAATTGGGGTCTTATAATTAGGACCAAACTAAAAGTTAAACAGGGTCTCATATTAAGGACCAGAAATAGTATCAGTTATAAATTTATGCACTTGAATAAAATGTGTTTGTGTGCGTGGGGTAGTATTCATAGCAAAAACTGCACTATAGAATAAAGAATTTGAGTTTCACAAACATAAATCCTAAATTGCCAAATGCCTATTGGTTTCGTGGCTCTGAAAAAACATACCTCTGATGCTTAAGATAAAAGTTATTTGATCAATGTGAATAAATAAAAAATATATGTTAAATTAGTTATTTGTAATAAATAAGTATTCCTCCTAGTCCTAAATATAAAATGGGTCTTATGTTTAGGACCGAGAGAGTATTATCTTTCATAAAATACCCTTGCTAATTATGTGTATTGGTTAAAACTACCATTTGATTGAACACTTAATATGTACAACTACTATAAAGATTACTTTGGAAAAAAAAATATATAAGAGATAAAATAAATTAAGATATTATATTAATGATCAAATTAAATGTTAAACTAGTTTTTCTATTAAGAAGTAGATGTGATAACATCAAAATTTAAATGAGAGGTTGTCGGTTCAAACTAGATAAGAGTTCTGCCAAATATCGACTCAAATCCTTTGTAATATTCTTTTCTTTTTGAACCATTGATATTTCGTATTAGATTCAAAACACACACATATTAGAGTGGATATATATTTGATGTTAGGGTGTTAGAAAGTGAAGAAGGAGCAAAGGGGTGGGACCAAAAACTTTGGAAAAGAACAGATAAATGAAAAGCTTTGGTGATATGTATGAATAGTGTGGCAGTGTCGTGGTTTTAACATCAGGTATGGAGTGTCACAATAATTGAGGTGTTTAGTGCAAGAGGATAGGAAAGAGAAAAAACGTGAGGAGTGGTCAATTATCTACGTGTGTGTGAATATATATATATATATATATAGTAGTATATTGGAAGAAATTATATATGGGTGATTGAAATGTAAAGATCTATATATACTACCTTTAATTTTTAATATAAGAGTTAGTTTGATATTTAATTTTGTTTTAATATAAGATTTCAATTCACTTTTTTTATATTTATTATAAATAATTAACTTAACTAATTTTTTTAATTTACTCAAATTAATCAATTAATTCTTATATTAAAAATTGAAGGTAGTGTGTGTACATATATTTATGCAGTATACAAATGCATATTGGCGTAGTTGCTGGGGATATGGTTCCTTCATTTGTCAAATCATCTCACATGTAATGCCTGCCACAAGCCTTCTCTCTTTCGTTCCTTCTCCCATGCTAGAATTTTCTGGCCAACGCCAAACGTTATGTCTTTCAATATTTATTTCTTTTACTAACAGAATAGAGCTTATCAGAATAGGTTACTCTTTCATAACATGACGAATCAAGATTCGAATCTCTTCAAAGAGAGATACCCATATTTATCACTTGACAGTGTTTTGAATAAGATTGTCTCCAATAATAAGATACCTATACTTTAGTAAAAAAAAAGATTTATTTATTCCACATTTTTGTCACTTATTATTTACATATATGAGCTCATTTGCTACATTATCGTAAAATCCCGCGTGAGTGTTGTCTATGACAAGCGTAAAAAGACAAAGTGACTTAGAATAATATTACTACCTCCGTTGACTAATATAACACTATTTAACTAATTTAAATAAATTAAAAATATTAATTAAGTTAATTATTTATAATTAGCATGAAATGATTTTTTTATAAATAAGTTAATTATTTGTAATCAGTATGGACTAATTTTCTTAAAGTACTATTTTCAATAATCACTATCATTAAATGCAAACAACTTGATATGTATAATTCATAAGAATACTTTAAAAAATAAATTACAAATTTAAAAAACAAAATAGATTAAAATTTTATATTTAGGATTAAATTCAATTCTCAACTCACCATTTGTTTAAGGAGCGGAGGCAATGTTAAACAGGTTGTAGATTTTTAAGAGATTGACTTGTAAATTTTGGAATTAAAAGCTGACTTATAAATCAAAAGATTTGTTTTTTTTTTTTGGGCCAGAAATCAAAAGATTTGTTTAAGAACAATTTCGTCTTTTTACGCTTGTCATTGATGACGTCTAAGTAGTGTAGGATCATCGTATTTTAATTTGTGAGCTATTCGCAAGTTTCACTTTTTAAAAGAAAATAAAAAGTAAGATGGGAAAAACAGAGAAAAGTCCTCATTAAAAACGTTATTGGTAAGGAGGATTTAAGTCATAATACTGATACTGTGTCCATACAAAATTTGCAAAATAGTGATAATTTTTATGTATAAAAATGTATTAGATCATCCTCACGGATTAAACTTTTAATATATAGGAAATTTTGTCATGACTTTTCCAACTAAAATATACTCTCACTAAATAAGTGGGAGCTATGCACTATCCTTGGAATTGCACAGGCCATGCCTCCCATCAAGTGGAGGCAGTGACGATGAGAGTGAAAGATTTTGGTACAAAAATAGAAATAAATATCCCAATATAGAGACACACCCCCAGGCTGCTCACCGTCAATCTTTGCTTACTGCTCAAAAAGCAAGAGAGAAAATATATATTATTTCGTGCAGAGTTTTTTTGCAAATCTGAAAGCAGTTAATATCAGCGTTTGGCCTTGGGCGAGCCTAGCTGGTCCCTCTGGAACCTAATGCTTCCTTGCCCATAATTCTTTTGTCGCCACTATCCTTCCTCTTCCTACTACTTTCAAATTCAAAACCATCCTCCTCAGATTAATTTTCTCGCTACAGCTCGCTAGCTTTCCTCCAAAAGCAAACGCTCAGATTACCAAAAGAGAGAGAGAGAGATGAAGATCCAATGTGATGTGTGCGAGAAAATGGAAGCTTCAGTTTTCTGTGCTGCAGATGAAGCTGCTCTCTGCCATGGATGTGATTCCAGTATCCACCATGCCAACAAGCTCGCAGGCAAACATATGCGCTTCTCTCTTCACCACCCCACCTCTAAAGATTCCGCTCTCTGTGATATCTGCCAAGTACTTCTTCTTCTTCCTCCTCCTCTCTCTCTCCCTCTCTCTCTTCTTCAATCCAAATCTAACAGAGAAATCTGATGTTTAGAGCTCTTTTTCTGTATTTGTTGCAGGAGAAGCGAGCATATCTATTTTGCAAAGAAGACAGAGCAATACTATGCAGAGAATGTGACCTTAACATCCACAGAGCCAATGAACACACCCAGAAACACAATAGATTTCTTCTCACAGGCGTGAAGCTTTCTGATTCTTCTTCCGGGGATCCGTCTTCATCGTCCTGCAATGCCGTCACCACTGAGAATAAAAGAGTCGATAATGGAAGTCGTGAGGCTAGAAGATCGTGTCGGAATTCTGACACAAACAGACCCAGATGGGATTGCAACGAGAATTTCAGTTCTTCTAATTCAGCTGTGAATTCAGATAATACTATGGTTAGTGACACAGAAGCAGTTTCGACGAGCAGTTTTTCTGAGTATTTGATTGAGACGATACCTGGGTTTTGCTTTGAAGACCTAATCGATGCTTCGTTTCCACCTCCCTGTAAGGTTTGCTGTACTCTCTGCTCCTACAGAATGAGATAGCATTTAAGGGTTTGTTTGGTAAATTCAGGGAAGATGAAGGTGCAAACGAGTCCCCACACAGATAGATGAGTTGTTTTTTAAAAAATTACTTAGGCGAAATCCATAATTTTAAAAATAATTTTATAATATACGAAGTAAATATATGAAAGAGTTTATTTTAATTTATTAAAAAAATATTTTTAAAAATATTTTTTTAAACTCAACACTCTCGATGTACAAATAAGACTTCATCTTTAGACCCGGAATATATCAGTTGCTCTAGTTAGTTATCACATTTTTTCTTCATTTTCTTTGTTAAAAAAAAGATATTCTAAAAAGATTAGCACAGTCCATTAAAATTATCTCAGCAACAACTTAAGGGAGTATTTGGGGAAAAAAAACTGTTTCTCTTGGTACACTAAAACATCATGAAGGTAGCTTTGTAATGGAAGTTGCAAAAGTACATTTTTAATAATTTTTTCCCACCACATTTTTAATAGTTTTCTAAACATAGCCTTAATTGACAAATAATAAAGGATAAAGATAGGATTAGAATTTTAATTTTTTAATTTTTTTGACTCACCCTTTTTTGCACACTACTGTATCATCCAATCCACCCTCTTCTCTTGATTAAGTTAATATGGTTATAACTTGTAAGAAGTTAAGAAAACAAAGCAATGCCTGGTTTTATTTTATTTTCTATTTCATTCATTTTAATTTTTATTTTATTTATAAAATTAAATGTATAAAGAGTAAGATGATAAGTATCTTTCTTGCCATTCCGTTTATTATCTTATTTTATTTCGATAACATTTGATATGGTGTTCTTGCTGCAGAATGAGGGTAAGCATGATGCCACATTCGATGATGAATATGAAGATGTTGAAGTCAGAATGTGTTTATATCCAAAACTAAACGCAGCAAAAGAAATCTGGAAATAGAAGCAAAATGGCTTCCCCTAATCTGTCAACTGTCTCCCTCAATCTCCACTAATACCGTGTCCTCTGTTCATGTGTTTGTTTATAGTTTTTTTTTCCTTTCATTTTTATTTTTATCTTTTTATTTTTCCAGTATCTTTTCTTTCTTCTTTTTGTTTTTTTCCCCTTTTCCTCGTGATATTTTTCTGGGCCCTCGATAGTTTTTTCTTTCTTTCTTTCTTTGAGGGAATTATGCAAGTGGGCATAATTCTCTCTTCGGCTCATTTATTGCCAATGCCCCTCTCCTCCAAAATACTAGTGATACCCATTAATTATTCCTACCGTACTTTTGAGTTATGCACATAAAAAAATTTAAAAAAAAAATGAATTTTAGTAATTAGATGTAATTGTATTACATATTTTACTAAAATATTTTTATTTATCATAGAAAAATAATTATATCAAATTTTTTATATATATTTTATTAAGTCCTTCAATAATAATATTTTAAAAATACAAGTCATGTCCACGGGGAACTTGATACAACATATATAAAGAATTTGATTTAAGTATTGTTATTTATCATAATACTCCTCCGGTCCTTAATATAGGACCCAATTGCTAAGTTGGTTTTGGTCCTAAATATAAGACCCATTTCTCATATTTATCAATTTTCTCTAAATTACCCCTATGGATACTCCATCAATTATAATCAAGTAGAAGATAGAGAGGGGTATTAAAAAAGATGATTATGGTATTTTAGGAAAAACATGTCATAATTTTTATAATTAACTAACTTACCTAACTTCCTTAATCTAATCAAATTAATTAAATGGGTCCTATATTAAGGACCGGAAGAGTATCTTAATAAGTGCACTTTCATTTGCTAGGACCAACTCAGAAGAAATCTGTATAAATCAATAATTTGTTTTAAACAAGGACCAGCAAAAAAGATGTTTGAAGAAAACCTATATGGATAAAGGGTGAACATGAAATTTATATTTAATTATTTCATGGATTTAATATTTTACTATTATTAATAAATATGAATGTGGAATTGTTTGATAAAAATAAATCTCAAAATTAGCCAGCAAACATATTCATTGTCAAATTTTTGGTCAGGCTCTTTTTCTTGGTACGCTATGCTCGCTGTTATCTTTTCAGGATGAGATAATTCAGTTTCCCTAATTTTGTTTGAGTCAATATAATCTCTTCACATTTTGAAATAATACATTTAAGCCTTCTTTTGTTATTTATTGAAGGTTTTGCCATTGTTAAAAAGTATATTAAAATAATTTAAATATCACCAATGCTGATTTTAAAAAAACAATATTTAGATAATCCAAGTCAATTGATCCACCTTGGTGATTGTGCGGGGTACAATAACAGCTAACAATTGTGCGTGGTTGAATCAACAAAGTGTTTGAAATTGATAGTAATTTGTACAGGTGAACAAAGGTATTTGGGTGATTGTGATTTGTCATGGACTGAAAAAGGGATCACCAATATGTGAGGGGAGGGCCTTTGAGAAGGTGGAGAGAAGTACAAAGCTTCGTTCCCAAATGATGAAAGCTCAAGGGGGTAGGATTCTTCAACTACTTGTAGACTTTAGAGACAAACTGACAGATAACCAACCTGGTGAGGGGGACCACCAACACAGCCTATCCTCTTGCTTTACGTTGTTTCTCTTGAAAAAGCATTAATCCAATATTGGGACACTTAGGTCCCGTTAGAAATTGTAATTAAAAAAATCACCAAAAAAATATTGACAAGAATAATTATTTATTACATAGAATTAGATAAATTTATAAAAATAAGATTAAAAAATACCACTTTTCTTGTGATATTTCTCAATCTCATATATGAGTTTGTTTAATTTTATATAACAAACAATCTCTCGTATTAAATTCTTTTTTAATAATTTTTTCAATTTAAATCTCAATTCCCATCCCTCATTTGCAAGTCATACCAAACAAGACCTAAGCCCATGGTCCCATTTTAATGTCCATTACTTCCGTGAAGCAAGGCATCAAGCTTGCGTCTATATGCCCTGTAAGCTTCAAATAATCAAATTATATTTAACAAACTAGCAATTAAAATTAGTTTAAAATAATAAATAAGTTTAAAATGTATTTTTTTAAAAAAAATTAGCTTTTATTTATTAAAAGAGTAAATGAGAGAAACAATAAATAAAAATAATAATAAAAGAAAATATATAAAAATAATATTAATGAGAGTACTAAATAGAATCAACTAAAAACAAAATATGAAAAATAATAATAATAATAAAAGCTCAAACAAACTTAAAAATGAAGCTTATACTTTAAACTAAACTCCTTTTCAAAAGTCAAGCTTATATATAAAACTCGATGAAGTACACATTAATAAAAAAGACTTAATCTCCCTTATTTAGTGCCTCATTTAGTATTCAACACTATTTCAAATAAAATTGTAATAGAAGAATATTTATACTCAAAAAAGATAAAAAAACAGACTTGATTGCCCATCCTCACGACTCTAACAAGAAAATTAGCAACTCCGTCTCTCTCTCTAGCAGTAGGATGCTGATATATTACCAGTTAAAACGAAGGAAATTGCAAATATATGAAGAAAAAAAGTTCATATAATAAGGGCAGAATATGGGCTCTTACACACAGAAAACGACACAAGGAAGATGAAAGACAAAATTCTGCTGTATTAAGAAATTACTTTACGGGTATGTATTACAGCAGTGTCATTAAAGCCCTTTCTTTTTACAATTTTATATTCTTTTATTTCCACCCGCCTCTCCCCACTATCTATACAGTTTCCCATGGGTAGACTAAAAGGTAATAAGATATTGAAATACCTTTTGAACGGTTTTACACACAGCGAGATTAATGAAAGAATCACACCTGCAATTGCAAAGGCTATATAATTTTTTTTTTTCAGTGAGAGAACCCTGCAAAAAAATAAAGACCCCAAATTTTATTACTTAAAATATGGTTCACAGCGAAAGTATCACCGAATATTTTGCAATACCTTTGACAGGATCAAGAAGTAAAAGCAAAGAGTCTATCATCAATATTTGTCCGGCATATTGGGCACTCAGAACAAGCAAGTGAGCACGATTCACACACTGCAAATGAACACAATTATGAGATAATTTTATGATGAAAGTCAAAAAGAAAAATGGCCAAAAACGCAAAGGATGATGATTTATAGAAATCAGATAAAGGCTTACAACAAAAGTGCCGGCATGGGAGAAGAATTGCTGCTGTTGGCGATTCAAAGCATACTTTACAAACATGGGAACTGGTGGCGTCTCCATTCCCAAAGTAGTTTTCGTTTTCTTTCATCTCTTGCATGCGTGCCTGAGACCATTCAGTACAGACCAAAAACAATATCTTAATATTATAACACTAAACGTATGAATCTGAACATATACATCATACCATGAAACAAATGTACGGATAATGCAGCAGCATTGTTACCTTAAGACGAACCACCAGGGATTCATCCTTAGGAACATCTTCTGATTTCAGCACATCCGAAACCTGCTCTCGGTGGGCACTATTACTTCCAATATCGTTATTTTTTGGACCATCAATTATGTTTCCTGTGCCGTCGCCATTTTGTTGATCAATGTTTGATTCTGGGACGGAACCTCCTTCTTTCTTTAACCTTGCAACAAGAACCCACATATTTGCCAAATCATTTTCCAAGGCCGCTTCTCTTTTCTTTGCCTCTTCAGCTTTTTTTCTGTACTCCTCTTCCAAAAATTCTTTCTCAGCTAATGCAGCCTCAAGAGCCGCCTCTCGTTGTTTCCTAGCCTGTAGTTCCATCTTCATATCTTCTGCTTCAAGACTCCGTGCTTCAAAGTCATCTAAAACAGCTGAAAATTCATTAGCACGGCTGGAAGTCCTACCCTTCCTTCCAGATCTAGCATCATTATACTTGCGGTTAAGGCCATTAGAAGTTTGCAAACTCGAATTCCGAGCGTTAGCCAGGTCTTGAGCAGCAATCAATTCCTTCTCCAGTTTCGCGTTCTGCAATGAAAGTTTTGTTACTTCACCAGCCAAATTCTTTAATTCCACTGCAGCAGCAGAGGCCAGTTCTTTTGCATAAGAAGCTTCTTCAGCCAGCTTCTGATTCTGCACAAGCAACCCACTATTCTCCTCAGAGAGTTGAACTTGCTCTAGCTTTAGTTTTTCATTTTCAATCTCCTGAAAATGGGAGGGCAAAAGTATAAATTGGTTAGGCGATTCAACAAAGCACGAACTTTAAACTGGACGACAAAAATAACCATATCGTGTTACAAAATAACAATCGAGTATCTGCAAATATTATTTAATACTGTATCCTGAAAGAGGTTTGACGTAAGTTTGAAAGAGCAATATTGACAACATGAGGGGAAGCAATTAATATTCACAGACAGGGACAACAAAATTATTTTAAAAAAAATATAAAACAAAGCAACGGTAGTGCACAATGCTTAAGGGAACATGATCGATAGAGATAGGTTACTACAACCAGACTTGAGTTACCTGAAACTGGATTTTCTTTTTCATCTCATCAATGTCCTCCCCAGCTACCGAATGTTCCGAAGATACTAACCAACTGCCATTGGAAACTGCTTCCAGTTGCAGCTCCAACTGCTTCACTTTTTCTTGTAATTCTTTGTTCTCCGAACACTATCAGCAAAATGCAAAGATATCAACGTTGGCATGATAGGTGGGCCTTTATCAGCATCTTCAACACAAATAACATGAGACGCAAAAAGTTGGAAGTTAAAGAAAATACCAAGCAGCAAAAATGAGTAAAAGGCAAATTATACCTTATTATCGAGTTGTTCCTGGAGGACACGATTGTCTGCTGATTTTATCTATAAATATTCAAAAGTTACCACCACTGACAAATTAAGTCAACTAAAATTATTAACCAACTCATTCTTTCTACCATAGAACAAGTCTTTCATATGAAATGCTATGGCTAAAAAACCAGCAGAGAAATTTCACTTTTGGCCTAATTACATGACTCAAAATGCTAGTATAGTCAAAATAGTAATCACCTCCAGCTCGAAGGCCTTTT